TATAAATTGGGCTGTAAGTTTTCAAGACTCGTTTGAATTATTTCACATTTTTTATGTCGGGCCCTTTTATAGCGGACTTTAAAGTATGAGTTTTTCTCATTGTTGAATGTCGTATGGTGGCCTATAATTGCTTATTATCACTTCATTTTAACTCTGTTTGATACCTGTCTCATTTGCAATCACACTACATCTCCTCATTCTTATATATATCCAAATAAAGTTTCCTGAAGTCACATTTAACTTCCCCAACACACGAAGCTTTAGGTACACTTATGATGCAATATTTGATTGAACAATAATAATATACTAGTAAATAAAAATGTTATGCATGTATTTTTGTTATAATGAATAAAAGTATTGAAAAATGTTGGGCCGGGAGAGAAAGGGGGGGGGGGTGAAATTTTCAGGCTTGTCTTTGGAAAGGGGGGTCTTGAATTTATTTTCCTTTCTTAAGGTGGGGACTTGAAAGAAATAAGAGAAATTCCAATGTTTCCTTCCATTCCCCCACAATGAAAGAAAATGACCAGTCCCTAAATTTTATGCAAAAAAACCAGTTTGTTTTCTTTATTCTTTAATTTAGAAACTTTATACAAATTATGAATAAATTTATAAAAAAAATCGTTTACCGAGATCGTAATTACTATCATGATTCTAACGTTGTATAACACATATTGCATTATATATGTCTCTGTTAGTATGTAAAATTTTACGTTAAAATCTTGGTCCGTAAACCGGAATTTGTCCGTCTCCGGTAACATTGTAATTCATATATAGAGTTATCTCCCGTTTGGCGCCAAGCGATAATTGAAAAAAGGTAATTTTTAAGCTATGGTTTAGAGCTTTAGATATACTTGCTCACCGGTCTAAAGAAGAGTGACACGGAACAGAGAGTGGGACAGGATCCCAGGCTTGTTGTAAAAAGATTGGCACTTGGGTGTCTAGGATATTCATGCCCATTTTCGTTTCTGGACATGATTTTGTATGTTATGATGTTCCAATTGATGCCGTTTCCCGGATCAACTTGACGTCTCAAAGCAAATATCTTTACCTCACAATGTCCTATGATGCACTTTTCCCCAAATGACCCAGGTCAACTGGGGCAATTCATTCATGAAATCGAAATTGGAATATTGTGTATAAGAGTTACCCGGGAAATTCAGTGCACTTTTTACTCTAAATCAATGTACATGTCATTTGTAGTCTGTTTGATATTACACTGTTCTAGACAGTTACTTTATGGTTCATGTAGAAATTATGGCTAAAATGGCTGTGTTTACACCTCAAAATTTACAAAAAAGTATAGATCGACAAACCTGTGCATCTGGAATATTTTTAAATTATTGCCCTTTTAGGACAATTTTTATTAATTTTCTAAAATGTGAAAAACTAAAATAGATACTGTAAATTCAGATATTATTATTGAGTGCATTAATTATTGTGATTTTTTAAGAGTGGACATAAATGCAAGATTAATTATTGCAATTCCTGGAAAATATGCAATCAGATATATATATATATCAATTATCAGAATGCGACTTCTTATTTATTGTGATACTCACCCAATCGCATTATTCACAATGATAAAAACTTGGCAATAATTTCTGAATTTACAGTAGATAGAAATATAAATGTGCCAAATTAAAAACTTAATAATATAATCAGCAAGGAAAGATCTACAAATAAATCTACTGCCGGAAATTGTCAGTTCACTCCTTGTTGGAGTTAATGCTCTTTAATGAAGATTTTTACCCATTTTTAGTGAATTGCCTCTTATCATGAAAACTATTATAGATAGATAGCCACTTTCAATAGCAAAAATGATCATCAAGTGTAGATCTTCAAATAAGTCAACATAGCTGAAATCGTCAGTCGTAGTTGGAGTTCTTGCTCTTTAATGACGTTTTTTTCCAATATTTTTATCCTTAAATGCTGATTTGTGACTATTTATTTTGTATGTAGAATACTTTTTCAAAGATCCTATTCCTGAGACTGATGGACCAATATTAACCAAACTGTGGGTGAATGAACCTTAGGGTATTAAGTATAAAGTTTGTGTTTTTTTATATTCTGGTTAGCCAACCAACATGGCCACCATGGTTAAAAGTAGTTAAAATGCATTAATAGTCTTAAATCATGGAAACCAAAATAGAAATGGAAAATCAGACCTGAACAAAAATGATGAGACCATTACAATCAAAGTACTTCCTATTTTCACCAAAATTATCAAATGACGCCTTAGATGAGTTAATGCACTCAAATGCAGATTTTTAGCTAATTTTCATGTTCTTCTATGTTATTTTGAAAACAACAATATGTTCATAAAGAACATTAATAACCAGTAATACAAGATCTACGAAAAGTCAATATAATTAAATCTATTGGATGACTCTTTAAGGATTTCAGGTATAGAATTTAGTTTAAAATGTAGTTTAGACCTCAGGGCTAGATCAATTATATTTAGTCTAGCCCTGACCAAGACAGCCTAGCCCTGAATCACCGGTGAGGGTCACAAAGCGACCCGAACTTGCTAGGGAGTTTGGGGCATGCCCCCCCCCCCCAAGAAAATTTTTCAAAATTACATCAATACATGCAAAATCCTGCAATCTGAGTGTATTATAAATGTAAATATTATGTCTCATAAAAGCCCATTTTGGGGATATCAAGAAAGTAAATAAAAGGAAAATTGTTAAAATAATTATTTTTTATTGATTGTTATTTTTTTGTTTATTATAAAACACCCATATATGCAACCTCACATCCCATTATGCCTGATAGGATCTTACACTATGTTAGTGTTTGGCAGTTAAAGCTTGGGATGGCTAGTCATCCTAAGATGCATTATTCTAATATAATCAAATATATAAATTATCCATGTATCTAAAATGTATCTCAAGGTCAAGAAAGCCATGTGTTGTCAATTTTTTACCTTTTAGTCACATCAACATCTAAGTAGACATTGTATCATTTGAGATTTCAAATGTGAACTTAAATAAGCATGATAAGGGGTTACATTTTTTTGCCAGATGAAAAAAAAACTTTTAATTTCATCTGATGTTCCATTTTATATTGTGAATCCATCATCCCTGTATCTGCCATAATAGAATATTTTGTCTTAAAGTTGAAATGCAGAAACTACTTGATTCATTGTTTCAAATATAAGTATGTCGCAGATTTCTGGTGAAGGGACTGCACCAAAAAAATTGATATACCTTTTATTTGTTTATATATTTTGCCATCAATTCAAATTCATTGTTTTCTAAAATGAGTTTCAACAGATGTATTCAAACATTGACTGGCAGAGCATTGACTTTGAAATTTAATTTGTCAAAATTATCATCATGATCACAGGCTCGTTCAACTGCACTTAATAGGGCAGCTTGAGGTACATTAGTAAACTAAAAGTAACCTTGAACTTGATCATAGTCATTTACGCTCTTTAATATTCAGAAGAAAAGATAGTATTATTTAAAGCATCGAAAAGATTGTGAATTTGTATTTAAAAAACGAACATTGAACGGAACAGAATTTCCGGAAATTGATAATCGTAAATTGTCTAGACACACGGTCTATGATGAAACAATTTAGACTAGACCAAGGGTAATTCTTCTAGACCCGGGCTATAGGTCTTGCATTAATTTCGAACCCAGGAATTTATTGCCATTAAAGGGGCATTAGCTACGAGATATAAAAAAAATTAAAGTATGATTTTTGTTGGTTCAATCATTAATGAAAGTGATATAATGAAATACTAATTTGCCTTTAGCAGCCAATTTGGTTCAATGTCAAAATATGATAAGAAACATTGCTGATGAATTATTCACTTGCAAGTGAATAATCCGACCTCATTGGATTCTTATTCATGTGACCTTAAAGTTAACCCCTTAGCTGGAGATGGGTTATGCATGTATTCAGCTATTAAAAGGAAAAGAAGGTCAACATTGAAAGTGAAACAAGGATGAATCATTTGGTTGACTGAATCGATCAACAACAAAAAAATTCTTATACAAGTAAAAAAGATGATAAACATACTTTTTAACCTACATTATGAAATCAAACGGACCTAGAAAAATCCAATTGCATGTGGACGCTTTCTGTTTATATTTATATTTATGTTTATATCGTGTTATATGACCGTCAGCAGTCTTTGGAGGCCATCTCGATGGATAATTAGATGATGTCTAGACAAAAATACACACAAATTTTTGATACATATTATGGAGTCCATGCATTGTTAATTGTTTATTTTAGACTTTTTGTAATTTGGATACACATTTTAGTATGTTATAAATCAAAAATGAGAATTTGAGTCAAATTGGTGAAGATGAATTTGACAGCTAAAGCCCCTTTAAGGTAACCGGTTCATAAATGGCAGATCTCACAATATGTTATTAAATTTGCAACTATAGCATGAAAGATGTTCACTAAAACCAAAGTTTTTGACAGAAATGCAACAAACTCAAAAGTGGTCTATTATGACATCCCTGTATATTAAGGAGCTTAACTAGGTAGGGCTAAAAGACCCCTGTCAATTTTTTAGGACCTTAGATCAACTATTGGCAATGAGGAAACATACAATCATGTGACTTTTAATAACACTTCTAAATGATTCCAATGGCAATGGCTACCAACAGAACTTGGACATAAAAAGAAGCTATGATCATACATTTTTCTTTCATCTTTCGTTGACTAAGAATACATTTTAAATTTAGATTCATTTTTAGAATGTTCAATGACCTACAATCATTTTTTAGAAATGAATTGACATATAATCATGAGATTTTGATATCCAGTGACACATCTAAATGAGACTTATGGCCGCCAATAGTTAGAGTCAATCTGACATAAATCTTACATACTATATTACAACTTAAACTTTTAAAACACATGAAGTAGTTAGATGTTATAAAGTAAGACTTGAAAGAAATAAGAAGGTTTAAATTATCAGACTACAATAGGGTCAGATAGATGTAGAAAATAAATCCCAAATTCAGACATTTTCTATGTTTTACAACGAGGTTGCAGGCCAAATAATTGACACACATAAAAAGAGGAGTGTCAATGAGGCAGTAAAAAAAAAAAACACAAAAAAAAGTCATTGCTACCTTCTACTTCATTTTATTGGTCTTTGGCAGAGATTTGGCAATCATACCACATCTTATTTTAATATAAACAGGAAGAGTTTTTTTTGTAGTATAACAGATAATATTGTAAATTATTTAAAACTTATTGAAAGAAGTCATTGTATTTTGATTGTTTTATTTATTGTAGAATGTCAATAAAGAGTCTGGTTTGGAACACAGTTTAGAGGCACAGTTTGTTGAGACTCCCGCTGGAGAACTAAGGGTAGGTTATTTCATTCATAATGCAATAAATCATATGTTTCTGATATGGGACGTTACAGTAATTCAAAGACTCCAGATATATTATTTCTTTGTCCTGTTGGGGCCGCAAGTTAATGTGATCTGTTAGTGAGATAAAAAAGTTTCTTCACAGTTACACTATTAAAATGATTGATTGTTGTTTGCTATATGTCCAGTGACAGACTAGCATATTATAAGACTATTTGAAAATAAAAAATAAGTAGACAGTTTATGTCTGTCAACATATATTTGTTTCCCCCAACAGAAGTTCCTCTGGAATCTTTGTTTTGATTGTGAGAAGGTTATAATATCTCTATATTCTATACCTTTAATTCAGTTAAGAACAAAAACTGTGATATTCCTGCCAGTGGAAATAATCTTTCAGAATATTTCATCATTGTGGAACTATTATCATAAAGAAACTTTTATTCCATGACATGTCTAGAGTAATCTTTTCAAATATTTTGGTTTACATCTGACACTTTTGGTTTTGAAATATTATGCATTTGCTTTTATAACTACTGCTAGATGACAAGGTTCATGCATTCTCTTCTTGAATTATCATGTTACCTTGAAAAGAATTTGGTTAATTAATTGCAAAATTTCCTTAGAAAAAATAAAAAATGGAAACAGAGTATAAAAATTAAAATCAGCTGTTTACACCTCTAAACATTTCAGTGTTATTCTCATAATTGACATTTAACCTAAAGGTAATTTGTGCTGTCTTTTCCTACCCCATTAATCTGATTATCATTTTTCAACATCTTGTATAGATGTTCATGTTGTCCTTTCTTTATCTGATGAAGACATTATGTAACCTAGATAAATAAAGACATTATGTAACCTAGATAAATAAAGACATTATGTAACCTAGATAAATAAAGACATTATGTAACCTATCAGATTGGTCAATAAAATCCACATATACTAAGCATTTTATTCATGTAACATCACAAATGTTATTTCATAGCTTGTAGGCAATTTTATAAATCGCAGGATTAACTTGAATTCTGTTTTACATGCCTAGAAATTAATGACCTGATTCAGATCCTGGATTCTACTTGTTTAAAGGACTTCAATATGTAACTTACCATTTTCTGTCAAATGTAAAAAATTACTGATCTGCCTAGCTGAGGACTTATCCTGTTCTTTGTAGATCAAGGCAATAACATTTAAAAATTTATTAAAGAAAATGTCAGCTAAATCAAACTGATTTAAATTGTGTTGTTTTCAAATGAAAAAAGAAAAGAATTATGGAATGCATACTAATGCTGAGGTTAAAACTTATCTTGCTGTGCAGGCTGACATATTTTATACATCTTTGAACTTTTGAAGATGAAATATTACATTGAAATGGAGAAAATGTTATATGCTACATAAGATATGATAACAAAGTTCCTTTTCATTAATAAATAACTACTGATTTTATTTTGTATCTTATATTCTATTTCAGCCTAAAGGATTACACATTTTGGATAAAAATGAAATTAAAGCAGAGAATCTTGATCACCACCTTTTCAAACAACAGTATTTACGGGTAAAACATTTATGATACCATAATCCCCTTTGTCATTTTTGAAGCAAATTGTGCATACCAAAATGTTTTGCTTTTCACCCATCAAATGTAAATATGTTTGCATTATGTCAAATCCTGTCAACTGACCCAACTGTTGTGGGTGTGACAGGGATTTTACAAGCTCACCCTAGATAAGTTTATCACCTGCCTGGGTCAACAAATAATCTGTAATTTCAGTATTTGACCCTTTTTCACTCTTGTATTTTAGTTCAATGAGACCTTAGACATATACATGTAATATGTTTATTCCAGAAAAAAAAGATGTATTAAAAGGAGAAAAAGGAATGGGAGACTGTTGAATAATTATTTTATAGGTCATGGAGTCAACACTCAAAATGTTCATTTCAAAGTGAATATATTTTTGTCGAGCCTGCGACTTTTGTCGCAGAAGCTCGACATAGGGATAGTGATCCGGTGGCAGTGGCGGCGGCGTTAGCTAACTTCTTAAAAGCTTTATATTTTAGAAGGTGGAAGATCTGGATGCTTCATACTTTGTATATGGATGCCTCATGTTACGAAGTTTCCGTCAGTCACATGTCCAATGTCCTTGACCTCATTTTCATGGTTCAGTGACTACTTGAAAAAAAAGTTAAGATTTTTTGTAATGGTAAATTCTCTCTTATTATATGTAATAGGATAACTATATTTGGTATGTGCGTACCTTGCAAGGTCCTCATGCCCGTCAGACAGTTTTCACTTGACCTCGACCTCATTTCATGGATCAGTGAAAAAGGTTAAGTTTTGGTGGTCAAGTCCATATCTCAGATACTATAAGCAATAGGTCTAGTATATTCAGTGTATGGAAGGACTGTAAGATGTACATGTCCAACTGGCAGGTGTCATCTGACCTTGACCTCATTTTCATGGTTCAGTGGTTATAGTTAAGTTTTTGTGTTTTGGTCTGTTTTTCTTATACTATATGCAATAGGTCTACTATATTTGGTGTATGGAATGATTGTAAGGTGTACATGTCTAGCTGGTAGGTGTCATCTGACCTTGACCTCATTTTCATGGTTCAGTGGTCAAAGTTTGGTCTTTTTTTCTAATACTATATGCAATAGTTCAACTATATTTGGTGTATGGAAATATTTTATAATCTATATGTCAGTCACACAGGTTTTATTTGACCTTGACCTCATTTTCAAGGTTCATTGCTCAGTGTTAAGTTTTTATGTTTTGGCCTGTTTTTCTTAAACTATAAGCAATAGGTCAACTGTATTTGTTGTATGGAAGAATTGTTAGCTGTACATGCCTGCCTAGCATGGTTCATCTGATCTTGACCTCATTTTCATGGTTCATTGGTCAATGTTTAGTTTACTTGGTTAATGTTAAGTTTATGTGACAGTTGTAATAAAGCTTTATATTTAGGGCTATCAACATAATATCAATGATTAGTAAAGAAGGCGAGACATTTCAGCGTGTGCACTCTTGTTGAAATATAATTACAGACTTTTGGTCTAAGAAAATAGTCTCTATTCCAATACATCCTATTCCGGATTAAACCAAAGGTCTTCATTACACGTGATCACAGTGAACCTCGTTTTAAATAAAACATTTCAGATTAGACATTCAAAATTTGAAATGACATCTTTGGTACTTCCTGTAATTGATTAGAACAACTGTGGTATATAATCAGTTTTGATATAAAAATAAGGTATTGTGTTATGATTGGCAATGAGACAAATATCCACTAAAGATCAAAGGACACAGATTTGAGCAACTGCAGGTCAATGTACAGCTTTAAACAAGTAACAATATTTGAGGAATACAAACGATGAAAAACTAACACAAAATCAAAGTGCTTATGTCCTGTTAAAGGAGATTTTTTTTCAATGGTTCATAATATATAGTGAAAATGCTGTTCCTTTGGTTGTTTCTATTCTGAGTATTTTGATTCATATTGTATGATGTAGGACAAATTTTGATATTATTTATTATTCAACTCTTAAAAAGTATTGTTATTAGTTATTAGTATTAGACATTTTCAGTACAATTTTATCTTTGTCATCATAACTATTTTAGCCTCGTTCAAAGGAGAAGAGAAATTTTAATGTTGGGATCCTGGATTCTCTTTGGCCAAATGGAATTATACCTTATGTAGTTAAACACAGTAAGTATCATGCTTATTTACATGAGTTAAACATAGTAAGTTTATTTACATGATCAGGATAGGTGTTGCAAAGTTTGTTCAAACAGATCCTTCTCAGTTGGTTTAATTTGTACATTTGTACATGCTAATTTTTAGGCATAATAAAGTTGCATATACTTGAAATATAAGTATTATTTTTTATTTACGATTTCATTATTTAAAACTCATTTGAAAGAGCTACAATTTTTTTTGTAATAGTATATTTCAACAAATTTATAAATGAAATTCTGGATATTCCACTATATCCATCTAACATGTTTTCAAAATAAAAAGAGACCTTCATTCAGACATTCTTTTCATTATTTGACAGGCAATGGTGCATCTAAGACTTTAATTAAGGACTCAATAGAAGAATTCAATAAACACACATGCGTACAGTGGATACCAAGAGATGATGAGCCAGATTATGTAGCATTTGAAGATGGGGGAGGGTAAGAAATTGTCGATCAATGAACCTTTATTGTGAATCAATGAACTGTTATTGTGAATCAATGAACCTTTATTGTATAATTGCAAATATTGCTATAACAAGAGAATACAATACATGTATAACAAATATGACTACATTTTTCAGATCGGCCAGAAACCTTCTTCTAGTTTGTTAGTAGTTTGAATTTATTTAATATGTTGAATGAACTTAATTTTTTCTCACACATTTCTCCAGTTAGACTAAAAAAATGACTTTTTATTTGGCAGCAGCTTGACTGTTGACCTGAAACATGTTAGCACTTTTTAAATCTGTCAGAAAGCTACTGTTTGCAAATACTTTAAAAAAAATTCAATATTATTGAATGAACTTTTATTTATGTCATATCTGGTTTGCTGCTTGACAGTGATAACTTGTAACATGTAAGGACTTTATGGATCTGACAGACACCTACCTCTTGTTTTCCCATACTTTGAATTACAAGTGTTTGTTTGCTAGTGTGACAACATTGAATCTGAATATAATTTCACAACAACTTGACAGTTGCTTCTTTTTGTCAAAAGATAATATTGTACATATTTTTAGTCCACTTCATTTTTTAGGCAGTTAAGCTGCCTTATGCTACCACCCTAGATTTGTGTTTTTCCCACTGAAATGAGTAAAACGTGCTATTGTTATTATCTAGCTGGCTAATATGTTATTAATAACTAATTGGGCACTTTTTTCATACTTTCAATTCTGATATACAAAAAATATGTCAAGAAAAACCTTAAATGATCGTCGAACAACCCAAAAGTTTTGAAGTTGCACATAGGAAGTAGTGCTTCATAGAAATCCGTACGTAGTTAATTATCCCATATGCTTTTGGCTGAGATGTCAAAGAAGAATTGTATGAAATATTTCATCGCCGAAAATCTTTAATTACAAGTCGTTTACATTTCCCAAATGACAAAAGGCGCAGGAATATTGTTCATGTACACCAAATCTCTATGATAGAGGAAATAAAGTTATACATAGTAGTCTAAGTTGGCGGTAATTTTAACTTACACAAAACGTAAGCTAGTAAGTATTCTGATGTTATAAAGTAAGTTTTGTTAATCATGATGTTCTTTTCGTTTAAGGAGATTGTGATTATTTAATGGATTTCAATTAAACATTCCTTTCTTTTATTATATTATTCCGTTTATCACTGATCTTGCCAAATAAAGTTATTGTTGTTTTATGAATGAAAAAGATCCGAAAATCGACGTTGATAGGATGTTTTAAGAATTCACTCGGACCGTCTAAGAAGACAAATTGGACCGCTTGTCAGATTTACTTAGGGTTTCATAAAATGTTAGACTTACATGTCTAGCGGAGCCATCACCCTTTCGACACACGGTCTTCAGTAATAATAACAGGACAATAGAACAAATCAAATAAAATATAGGATGAGTCAATGGGGGTCATCCCAACCCATTCAATTTGAAAATGTGCCTTTATCTTGTAAACGGTCGCTATCCCCACCCTAAACCATATATATACTTGAAAATTTGGGGGAATCCCCAGCGTCACCCCTGCCCCTTCTGTTTGAGAACTTGTAAACGGTCGAGATCCCCACCCCAACTGCATATATATTCATGTATGGGACAATAAAACAAATCAAATGAAATAAAGGGAGTCCACAGGGGTCACCCCACCCCCCTTCTTTGTGAAAACTTGTAGATGGTCGAGAACGCCACCCCTAAACCGTATATATTCATGTATGGGACAGGATAACAAATTAAATGAAATATAGGGGGAGTCCCTGTAGTCACCCCTACCCCCTTCTTTTGGAAAATTTGTAAATGTTCGAGATCCCAAACCCTACACCATATATAACCTTGTATGGGACAATAAAACAAATCAAATGAAATATAGGGGGAGTCCACAGTGGTCACCCCTATCCTTCTTTTTGAAAACTTGTAAACGGTTGAGATCCCCACCCCTTAACCATATATATTCATGTATGGGACAATAAACTAAATCAAATGAAATATAGGGGAGTCCCTGGGGTCACCCTTCCCCCCCTTGTTTTTGCAAACTTGTAAACGGTCGAGATTCCCACCAATACACAACATATATTCTAGTATAGGACAATAAAACAAATCAAATGAAATATAGGGGGAGTCCACGGGGGTCACCCCACCCCCTTCTTTTTGAAAACTTGTAAACGGTTGAGATCCCCACCCCGAAACCATATATATTCTTGTATGGGACAATAAACTAAATCTAATGAAATAAAGGGTGAGTCCCCTGGGGATCACCCCCTTTTTTTGAGAACTTGTAAATGGTTACCCACCCCTAAACCATATTTATTCCTGTTCATCATTTCAAGATTTGAATGACATACAGGGTCGATCTCCTAGGCGTCACATATGCATTACTAGACCTAACCAATGTGTACTGGACTTTGCCCAATGTCAGGCGACCATGGGAATGACTATTATGAGAGCTCTGTTTGGAAGACTTCTTAACAGCATCCTGTTACAATTATTTCTTGTTTATTATCAAATTTAATTGATGCAAAAATAAGTCTAGGTTAATTGAATTTACTTTAATTATTTTTTGAATTATTTCTGGGCCTATAAAAATTTTCATTTATTGCTCATTTTTAGCTCACCTGGCCCGAAGGGCCAAGTGAGCTTTTCTCATCACTTGGCGTCCATCGTCGTCGTCGTCGTTAGCTTTTTACAAAAATCTTCTCCTCTGAAACCACTGGGCCAAATTTAACCAAACTTGGCCACAATCATCATTAGGGTATCTAGTTTAAAAAATGTGTCCGATGACCCCGCCAACCAACCAAGATGGCCGCCATGGCTAAAAATAGAACATAGGGGTAAAATGTAGATTTCGGCTTATATCTCTGAAACCAAAGCATTTAGAGTAAATCTGACAAGGTTAAAACTGATTATCAGGTCAAGATCTATCTGCACTGAAATTTTCAGACAAATCTGTCAACCTGTTGTTGGGTTACTGCCCCTGAATTGGTAATTTTAAGGAAATTTTGCAGTTTTTGGTTATTATCTTGAATATTATTATAGATAGAGATAAACTGTAAACAGTAATAATGTTCAGCAAAGTAAGATCTACAAATAAGTTGTCATGACCAAAATTTTCAGTCGACCATTTTAGGAGTTATTGCCCTTAATAGTCAATTTTTTAACAATTTTCGTAAATTTTTGTAATCTTTTACAAAAAGCTTCTTCTCTGAAACTACTGAGACAAATTTAACCATACTTGGCCATAATCATTATTAGGGTATCTAGTTTAAAAAATTTGTCCGATGGTCCCGCCTTCCAACCATCATGGCCGACTTGGTTAAAAATAGAACATAGGGGTAAAATGCAGTTTTTGGTTTATATCTCTGAAACTAAAGCATTTAGAGCAAATCTGACAGGTGGCAAAAATGTTCATCAGATTTAGATTTATCTGCCCTGAAATTTTCAGACGAATCCGACAACCCGCTGCCCCTGAGTTAGTAATTTTACAAAAAATTTGCTGTTTTTTGTTATTATCTTAGATATCATTATAATATCTAATATATAATACTATTAATTATGATTTTAACCTTATTTTACATGATTTCCAAAGCATCAGTAAATACAGGTGAGCGACACAGGCTCTTCAGAGCCTCTAGTTTAGAAAACATATAAATCTTGCAAGCAGTGTAAAGCCCAAGAATGTTTGACCAACTGTTTTATAATTTTCATTTATTGCTCATTTTTTAGAAAACATATAAATCTTGCAAGCAGTGTAAAGCCCAAGAATGTTTGACCAACTGTTTTATAATTACCTGTCATTTTACTCCAAACTTGGGATGGAGTAACATCATGGACTTGGTGAAGGTCAGGGTCATTTTCATTTACTATGAGCAGGTCAATCAGACCTCACCATTGATCCCTGTAGTAGTAAACCTTTGGCTGATTTGTTTCTCATAACTTCTGTACTGTAGAACCCAAAATCAGTGTTCCTGCCAGGGAAGCAAGTACATTCATACTACTACAAACTCGTATTAAGTCAACTTGTACCACTAAAAGTCAACTGGTACCAACGTTAACTACCAACACGAACAACTGCAATCATTGTGAACTTGTACCACTGCAAACTCATTATTAAAAATATACATTGATATATGCATTGTTTTTGGAAACCTTGATAACATATTAATTAATTTGCCTTAATAATCAATTCATTAAATATACATACATGTACAATATAGGACTGTTTAATGTTTGTTCTTTTAAATCTTTAAAAAAAATGAAGCAACACTGCCACAGTTTTCATAATTATGTTTGCCTTGGTTTTTGGTTAACTGCCTATAGCGCTTACAGTGCTTTGATTTTAAACTTTTTTTCTCAAATAGGACACTTTCTTATGTGTTTCTGGCTTGGATTTCTCAAAACAAACTCAAATTGAGACTCACACCTGAGTTTTAGGTTTTGTTAAAATTTTACAGATTATGTAAGAAAAAAACTGGTTTTATGTCCCAAGATTTTTAGTATATATTTGTTGCTTTTCTTTTCCTTTTTTAAAATATGAACTATATATTATGTGTCTTTTGATTACAGATGTGGATCTTGGATTGGTATTGTTGGTGGTAAGCAAAGTATTACATTGCAAGATCCTGGATGTATAAATGTAAGTTTGCCCATGTCAATTTGACAGATCAGACAAAATTTATAATAGCATATACCATATGGTTACTACATTGTCTCTCTTTGTACCTAATCAGTTTCGTGGTGCACATGATGACTTAAGTTTGTATTGGAATAGGACACACAATGCAGCCTTACCACCAGTCATGAGGGGGGAGGGGGGGGGGGGGGGAGAGTGCTAGAAGGATTTTCAAATGGCATAATATTCATTTTCACCTGATGCCAGATTTGATTATTTATTTCATACAGCATACAATTTATTTTCAATTTTGTACACAATTATTATCTGCATTTTTGTTTGTTTGTCTGTCCCATGTCGGGTTAAAGTTTTTAGTCAAGGTAGTTTACCACATCAACTTGAAACTTAGTAAACATGTTCATTTTGATATGAACTTTTAAAAGTATATGCCAAATCATGGTTTTGATGCCAATTTCACAGTTCACTGCACACAGATATATTGTGCAAGTAGGGAATTGTGTCCTATTGGCACTGATTCTTGTTTTGGTCAATTTCTAAAAAAAAACTTATTATAAAACTTGTCATAATTTAATGATGATGTGATTGTTATAATTCACCTCTTCAATCCTCTTATATCGGCAATATTAGTTCATAAGAACTTTTTTGGTAATATTTTTGCCTAAATTTCATACTTGAAAAACTGAGAAAGATCATATTTGATTGTTAATAAGGAATTCCTGTTTTTTCCAATTTTGGTTTTGTTTAAGATATTCATGGGGTATATCAATGATATTTTACTGCTACATTCTTATCAATTTATTGAAAGCTATTTTTGAACATTTGGATACTCATAAGCAGTATTTTATGCTTGGCTGGATCATATCTGTTTTGTATGACCCTACCGCTAGGCGAAAGGGGCATTAAGTGTTACCATTGTACGTATGTCCGTCTGTACATACGTTCCAAAATTGTTTTCCGTTCTCTTACCAAATGTTGCCTCAACCAAATGTTATGGAACTTATACACAATGCTTATTACCATAAAACGCAGATCAAGTTTTGGGCTGTTTCACTTTTACAGTTCTCTAGTTATGTCCCTTTATAACGTTATATGCAAGCGGAGCATCATCTGTGTTCCATGGAAACATTCTCCATTTATTTTACATGTGATTGTGTTTCAGTCTCATTTATGTATACCTAACATCTCTTTATTCATCTGAAGTTTTGTAAGGTCAAAGTTGGCCTTTCAACACAGAATTTTTCATGTCATGTGTCTAAAACACAGATTATTTAGTTGGTTAGATATAAAGAATATAAAAAAAAAAATTTGAAATATTGTAAAGACACCTGCCAATTGCTGAAGACAGTTAGTTACCCTCTAAATGACTTATGGTTTTTGTCAGTGTGTTGACATTAACATGTACCCCTATATCTCCTGTTCATGTTTTAGATTTTAAATTCATTGATATATATAAATATATAAAAACAAATTTCTTCCATCAGAATCAAATAATTTTTCCAGGTTGAAACAGTGATCCATGAGATGTGCCATGCTTTAGGACAGCTACATGAACAGAGCCGTTACGATAGATACCCATATCTCAGAACCAACTGGCAAAATATACCAGTTACGTGGGCATACAATTTTGATATGGCTTACACAAATAACCATAACCCATATGATCAACATTCTGTTCTACAGTATAGCTTGTCTGTAAGTATTGAGTATGATCAGAAAATGAATCAGATTATCTTTTCACTCCATTTTAAGCCCAAATGTTTGACTGACATTAGATGAACACTAAAAAAGAGCATGCTATAAGAAGAGACATAAATAAGAAGTTGTCTTACTGTGGATTCATTCATTTTCGTGGGTACCAATTTTCTTGGATTGAGGAAAACTTCCATTTTTGTGGATATTTGATTTCGTGGTTTCGACAATGTCTGCATACAAGGCAATAGAACATTTGTAATTTGTTGAACATATAAATTCATGGTTCAACTGTTCCCACGAAACCCACGAAAAATTGGTATCCAACGTATAATAATGAATCCACAGTAGTTGATTTAAATTATCTCTGACGGGTTGATTATATTTATCATAATCAAACTGTGGATTTCTTGTTTTTAGTACTTTTTTTCAGTCAAATTTCATTGATGTCTTAACTTTACTATTTTTGTTGAATTAAGAAAAGGGGAAACTGTCTTATTTTGTCTCTCTGGAGGAACAGGCTTCTTGCAGGTAAATGAAAAACAAATTTTCAGTTTGTCGCAAATCACCAGAAAATCATTAGAACAGATTCTACCACACTATCTCATAGCATATATGTCACCAATCTTGACAGATGAGTTTTAAATATTTAAAATTCTTGAGAATCCTGTTGTGTCTAGAAACTTTTATTTGTCACAATAGTAGCCTTTCGCAAGATACAGACTTTAGGAAGTTGATTTTTGGAACGAAACCTTACTAGAATAAAGAAAAATTATTTTTTAGTCCAAAAACTATAGGTTCCCAATGCTTTTCTTAACGTAATTTGTACTTATCTCCCTTGCCTATCAATTTTGCACTTGAAAACATGTGTCTAATCACAGGGTAGAAAATACTTCTCAGTTCCATTAGGGCTAAGGAAAATATATTATTTTGCCTTTTGTATAATGCAGAGTGCACAAAGTGTCTAGTTATAAAAAATACCGGCTGCACACATCGACCAATCAGGATAAGTCATTCTATTAATTCTGAATACCATGTTATCTTCATAAAATGGCTGCGCCCATAATATTTAATGGCTGATTGTAACCTGGAGGATGTTATGTGTAGACAAATTAATGTATACTGCACATCATTTATTCATATTGTATGCAATATAGTTATTGATGGTGATTATAATGTAGTACATGCAATTAAAAGTGATTATGTGATTACAGTAATTTATTACACATACCTGCCAACCCTCCCGTTTTGAGCGGGAGACTCCCGCTCAAATGGCGAAATTCGGGAAATCTCCTGCTTGCCGGTACCCTCCCGAGCGGGAGTATAGAATCCCCCGCTTTGGGATATTTTAACCTTGAATGCAAGTCAACATTAATTACGTTTTTGTCTCACTGATGAGGGTTGTTTTTACCTGTAAATCACAGACCATGTGAAATTAAATGGCTTCACTTGACAGCTTGGGTGTCAAACATAGTACTAATTAACGATCATTAGCGACTTTTGCTTCAAGCAAAACACTTGAAAGAAATTTCGGATTACTTCCCCTGTTTAATCCTGTTTTAAGTTACCCTTCTCAAAATAATGTGAATTGATAAAACAATTAATATAAACTAAATACAAATTAAACAAAGAATCATAAAAGGATGGCAATTAAAAGATTTTGTATGCCTTAAGACAAAAAAAATAATTATGTTTTAGAAATTACTTAAAGGATCTATACTTCTATTCAATGTTTATGTTGAAATTTACAAGATATGTATTGAACCAAATTTAGTGAAAGAGATATGTGCTCACACAAAATGCACCCGTGACAACATGACTGCTCTCTTATAACAGAGATATCTGGGGTGAAAGTTGTCTGAAAGGTATTCAAATGTCAAAGTTGATGAAATAGGAAAGAAACAAACAACACTCCTTCTGTACAACATAACCATATTTAAAGAAACAAAGTATATCTATTAACTCTTATATGTGTTTCGTAGATGAATAAATAAACACGTCATATATTTCCCTTGAAAATGTCGTTCGCGCAAAATCTCCCCCTCAGCTGTCATAGCTGTGAGGGAGATCTCCCTCTTTGAAGGTTTCAGAGGTTGGCAGGTATGATTACATATAATTTAAAGTGGTTATGTGATTACAGTCATTCAGTACATATAATTTAAAGTGATTATGTGATTCCAGTCATTCAGTACAAGTAATAGTAAGAAGAGTATGTACCTGACAGATTCCAAACTTAATTTCCTGACAGAACAGACAAGGAACCTGACATTTTATGATATACAAGATATAACTGATACATACCAGTGTACTAGTAAGTTATTTAACTCAATTTGAATTATTTAAAAATTTACCACGTTAGAATTAATTTATTGGAATAAAGTGTCTGAAGGAAAAGAAGGAGTATAACTCAGCTTGCCCTTAGATTTGGATCCCTATATTATATATGTATTATTTTTTGTTGTCATAACTAACATCTGAGGACTATAATTACATTCAGATGAAAATGAAGAACAATATTGAAGAGAAAATATTAGAAGGATAATAGTTGATAGATGTATAAAACTTTGTGATTGTTTGTCTTACTCAAAAGTTAATAAAATTGTCGTTGTATCATACCTTCTCTTTTTATAGTGATTAAGGTGGATCATTGGTATATATTTCCTCAGATAGAATTTTCTTATACTTTGCAGAATGTAGATTTTTCCATGCTTTTTATGCCCCGCCGTACTGGAGGGGGCATTAAGTTTTACCCTTGTCCGTCTACGTACGTCCCAAAATTGGTTTCCGTTATCTAACTTTAGTTTGCCTCAACCAAATGTTATGAAACTTATACACAATGCTTATTACTACAAAACACAGATCAAGTTTGAATTTTGGTGGCGTCACTTTTACCGTTCTAGAGTTATGTCCCTTTACAAATGGAAAAATTGCTGAAATATTTATTTCTGTTCTCTTAACTTAAGTTTGCCTCAACCAAATGTTATGAAAATTATGCACAATGCTAATTACCACAAAACACAGATCAAGTTCGAATTTTGTTGTGTCACTTTTACCGTTCTAGAGTTATGCCCCTTTACAAATGGATAAATTGCTGAATTTTTCGTTTCGGTTCTCTAACTAAAGTTTTCCTCAATTAAATGTTATGAAACGTATACACAAAGCTTATTAACACAAAACTCAGATCATGTACAAATTTGGGTAGCGTCACTTTTACAGTTCTTGAGTTATGTCCCTTTTTAACGTTATATGCAAGTGGGGGCATCATCTGTGTCCCATGGACACATTCCCCATTTATTTTTCTAAAATATAATAAAAAGTATGGGTCACAGTGCTACTTTTCAAGCTACAAGTTGTGCAATATTGCCCAAATTTGCATAGATTGTTCATGAAAAAACACTTTTTTCATGAATAAGAAGAAATCTACGAGTTAGAATTTTGAAATAAAATATGAGAAAATAGGTTTAAGAATTGATAATTTCTCTATCATTCCTTTATAAAAATTATACTATTTGAGTTAACTCCTCTTAAATTGATAAGTTGCCAATTTGATTCGATCAAACACAAACATTTGGAATTTATAAATCAGTCTGAATAATGCAATACATCATTTATTTTTCTTTATTCCAATAAACAGTCTAACCCATTAATTGCCAATCTGTCTCAAAATTTGCAGATTTAAGTAAAGAACTAGACCTAATGTAAACTACTATTTTACAACCCAAGATGGCGGTATACAGTTAATCTTCCTTAATTTAAAGAAGAAAACCATGAATATTAGAAAATGATGAAATACACATTTTTCAAAAGTTTTATCATGTCAGAGGAAAGATCAACTAAAGTTTCAACATAACAGCAGCTTTCTATTCAACCACAAAAATGGAAATGAATTCCCAACATGAAAGGCATTTTCTGTTAAAGTTCAAGTTTCAGGTCTTCCAAGTTGTTAGATTTAAAAATCATGTTACTCAGACACAAAATAAAATGTATAAGATCTTTTCAGCAGTAGAAATTATCCGTTGTTTGAGGATAATATTTGTGTAGTACATGCTTTGACTGTGCAATTACTATTGTATTTATACCCCTGCTCAGGCAAAAAATAAAATTTAAATAGTTTGATGTTGCCTACCTACCCACCTAAATTAGTAAAAAGGAGCCTACCAGAAAAATTTTATGACGCAAATTGTCTCAATTTTTTTTTTAAAAAGATTCTCTCCTGCCCTAATGTTTTCTTGTCTAAAACATGTAACTTATGCAGTATGCAAAAAAAAAAAAATCCCTACCTACCTACCTACCCATCATCTTCCTGTTTAAGAAATACATTATATTCTAAACATAATGGCCATGTATGAAATTTTCGTCCCATTTTTCTATGGCTACCAAAAAATATTTTCAATGGTACTTTGTAATGTATTTTTTTATGGAGTTCATTTTTAAGATACTCCAGAAGTTTGCCTGAATCATCTACTCTCCACAATATTATATTATGTAGATCAAGTTTTTGGTTGTAGAAATATAATGTACAATATTTATTTTGTTTATATTAACAGAAGACTGCAGTGACCCTCCAGTGTGTGATAATGGTGGATTTGTAGATTTTCGCTGTCAGTGTTTATGTCCAGAAGGACTAAAAGGACCAACTTGTAATGAAACAGAAGGAAGTAAGAAGTGATTTCACCAGAGCTTTGTTTTTATATCTTCAGGAAAGCATTGGTTTCATATTCTCACGGAAACTTTTTTAACGGCGGCGGCGTTAGCTAACTTCTGAAAAGTTTTATATTTTAGAAGGTGGAAGATCTGGATGCTTCATACTTTGTATATGGATGCCTCATGTTACGAAGTTTCCGTCAGTCACATGTCCAATGTCCTTGACCTCATTTTCATGGTTCAGTGACTACTTGAAAAAAAAGTTCAGATTTTTTGGAATGTTAAATTCTCTCTTATTATAAGTACTGTGGATTCATTATTATTCGTTGGATACCAATTTTCGTGGGTTTCGTGGGTACAGGCGAACCACGAATTTAAATGTTCCATCGAATTACAAATTTATAATAGGCTTTGCATGCAGAGGTTGGCAAACCACGAAATCAAATATCCACGAAAATGCAAGTTTTCCTCAATCCTCGAAAATTGATACCCACGAAAATAAATGAATCCACAGTAATAGGATAACTATATTTGGTATGTGCGTACCTTGCAAGGTCCTCATGCCCGTCAGACAGTTTTCACTTGACCTCGACCTCATTTCATGGATCAGTGAATAAGGTTAAGTTTTGGTGGTCAAGTCCATATCTCAGATACTATAAGCAATAGGTCTAGTATATTCGGTGTATGGAAGGACTGTAAGGTGTACATGTCCAACTGGCAGGTGTCATCTGACCTTGACTCATTTTCATGGCTCAGTGGTTATAGTTAAGTTTTTGTGTTTTGGTCTGTTTTTCTTATACTGTATGCAATAGGTCTACTATATTTGGTGTATGGAATGATTGTAAGGTGTACATGTCTAGCTTGCAGGTGTCATCTGACCTTGACCTCATTTTCATGGTTCAGTGGTCAAAGTAAAGTTTTTGAGTTTTGGTCTTTTTTTCTAATACTATATGCAATAGTTCAACTATATTTGGTGTATGGAAATATTTTATGATCTATATGTCAGTCACACAGGTTTTATTTGACCTTGACCTCATTTTCAAGGTTCATTGCTCAATGTTAAGTTTTTGTGTTTTGGTCTGTTTTTCTTAAACTATAAGCAATAGGTCACCTATATTTGGTGTATGGAAGAATTGTTAGCTGTACATGCCTGCCTAGCATGGTTCATCTGACCTTGACCTCATTTTCATGGTTCATTGGTCAATGTTTAGTTTACTTGGTTAAAGTTAAGTTTATGTGACAGTTGTAATAAAGCTTTATATTTAGGACTATCAACATAATATCAATGATTAGTAAAGAAGGCGAGACATTTCAGCGTGTGCACTCTTGTTTTATTTTAGACTGTGGAGGAATAGTGGACTTGACTGTTGGTAAACCTTACATGATCAAATCTTCAAATTATCCATCACCATATAGTATTGGGGATAACTGTGTTTGGGCTTTAAAGGTATGTATAAGTTTTTTTTGTCATTCTAAGTAAATTTTATTTCAGATATTACAGAATTTAATAAAAGTTTTCTATTTTTATACTTTAAAAGATTTCAGTTTAAAGGCATAAAGCATCTTCATTCTGATAATAAACAAAATAAGATGGGACACCAAAACAGTGCCAAAATTAACGAAAAGACATCTAGAGGGCAATATATAGTCCAACTAATGACAGGTGTATATACAATATGCAAGCTCTAAATTGTCCTGTGTCTACAAAAGCTGTGATCGAATTTAACAGGAGCAATAAAAAACTGCCATTACACCCAATTCTAAAAAAAAAAAAAAATTAAGATATGACATGATTCATGAAGTATTTAAAAACTCACCTTTCAATTTGATCAAAAGTTGACTCATACTGAAACTGAATCTTTTTTTTATCTAACTTTACTTTTATAATTTAATCAAATCAATTCATTTTTATTGTCATTAAATATTTACAGTATGTTTGTGGCAATACAAATTTAAACAAACAATAAACAACAAATAACAACAATACAGAATACAAAAAACATAAATGATAGATTTACAATACATTGTTTTTAGCAATATTCAATAGCCATGTTACAATGAGACCTCTGCCCTAAGTTCTAAGTTAAAAAAATAAGCCAATAATTCTGACATGTCTAATAAAAACTGTTAAAAAAAAAATTTCTGGATATGTAGCTTTCTCCAAAAATATATTCTTGTTGTTAATATTAATATGCCTCAGTTTACCTATTTCAATGGATCTATTAGTTTTACCTTTTTTCCTTGTTTTTTTTTTAACTACTGTGCAACTATTGTCTCGCCTGTGCGAAAGTTGCAGTATGCCAGACATATGGATTACAATCTGGCAGCAGCAGGGAAAATCAATGGTCAGTAAAGCAGGCAAGAAATTTCAGCATGTGCACTCTTGTTATTGCAAATCCTTGATGATTGGGAAAAATGTGAAATCTAATTAATGCAATAGGAAACATTTTATGAAGGAAAATTACTACTGAAATTATGAAAGTTAATAATTGCTGTACTGATGCAGTCATAAACGCATCATTATAATTTCTGAATTAACATTATCAGTTTTCATGTATTAAAATCTTGTGATATAATCAATTATGTTTTTCTGTAGGCTCCAGCCAGTGCTAAAATTAAGGCCACAATAACAGACATGGACATAGCTTATAATCATGAGCTGACAAGATGTTATCATTGGTTAGAAGTTCAGTATAATTTGATTGCACAACCGGGAATTATGTAAGTTTGTAGAAAAGTTTTTGCCAAATTTTGACCAATCATAAATTTAGAAATAAGGGCATGTTTGAACATTGGGTCTGAAAGTGTAGATTTTGATAATCATAGGATCCTATAGCCATTAATTGACAATTTCTGAAAGAGATGGAAGATTGATAAAATTTCAGTCATGTGAATGAAGTTTTTAAAGGAGTAGAACCAGTAACCCCAATAAATGACCCTTTAAACATGTATTTTTAAAACTTCCAATTGTTTAATGTGTATGCATTGCTAAATGTATTGTTATTAAAGTAGAATAAGAAAAATTGTATATTTGCTTCATATATTATAAATATTTACGCCCATTTTTCTAGAAGTTTGTCACATTTTTCGACATTTTTGCATGATTTTATATGTGGCGCCACCATTAAAATTTTGATTGAAAAGGAAAGAATATGATATGAAAAGAATATTTCAACAAAAAATTTGTTGGTCGAGGGGTGGTGCCACTAAAAAATTTCAGAAAACTGTCGTAAGTTTTGCCAAATTATGTAAAAAATCTGGTTATAATGAAATTCAGGTACATTTATGACATCATAAATACATTACTACTGACATAATTGGTGAAAATCTTTTTTAAATGAAACAATTTGACATTATAATATATGTTTTCATGAAATTTTCACAACATTATCAAAATTTTAAATTGTAAGATTTTTAGGGCCAAAATTATAAGTTAATGAACCAACTCCATTAATGTCAAGTTCATTCATCTGTTTTTCTGTCCATCTGTTTGAAAACAAGTTTGCAGTCGAATGCTATCAGAGAAACCAACTCTAAATAAGTATTTAGTAAATGTCAGACAATTATTGCACAATATTAAATTGATACATTTTTTCAGAAAATGTGGAGAGCTACAAGGTGGACAGACATTAGAATATGAAACAACTAATAATGGAGAATACAACTTGATGATGTTTAAATTTGATAGTCAATTTGTAAGCAGTAAGGAGCCAACTAGAGGATTCTTTATGATTGTTGAGGCCTTCAGTGCAGGTTTGAAAATTTTATATACTGTTGAGGCTCTCTCCTGATTCCACCTGGTATAAATGGGCTAAATGGAACATAACTTGGTAAAAATTATCCCTTTGGAATTTAGTTTCAAAAGTTGACGGGTGAATTTACAGACTCAAAAGCAACATTACAAAAATCAGATGTTTCAATGGTTTTGAGTTGAGCATATGAGTGGTCAGGTTCTACATTTTGACAATGGACTGAGTCAAATGATGGTATATATCAGGGTGGTCTGATTTAAATCCATTCCTGTAAAAAACTAGCCCTTGGATTCGTTGGTTTTTCTCTAATTTCTCTTTTCTTGAAAAATTTTCCTTGTTTGTTTCTTTGAGACATTGTTTAGCAGACGATACAATAATTTTACAATTGTCATGATGTTATAAAATTCTTCATCGTTCATGGATTTGCATCATTTCATTGACTAATTCTGAACGTACGTTTTAGATACTTACCACAATATCTTTTTCTTTGGGTAGGTCTATGTGTTGAAAATTCGTAAGACAGCTTAAAAATATACGGAAATGAATACCGATTATAATAAATATTGATAGTCATTCTAGTATAAATATAAAAGCTGGTTGACAAAATATTGAAAGCAAGTTTCTTCTGAGAAATGGCCAATCTCTATGTCAACAAACCGTAAAAGGGTGGCGACTTATTATATCTAAATACCGTCCTTTTTTAATTTTCATGAATTCTGAATCGTTCTAATTTGAAGAAAGTAAATATTTTGCGATGTCCAACAGATTACCCTTATGACTGCAACAATCTGCACAATGGGCGCGAAAATTTAAACCTGCAATAAGAAATTGGGTTTGTTATTAGATTTATTTCCATTCCAATGGTTATACAGGGATCAAATAGCAGCAAATGCAGAAAAAGGACAGTAGTACTCATAATATATTTGACTTGAGCATTAGAAATATTATACAGCACAACCCTTGCCAACAATGATATTAAAATGAGAAGGCTATCAATAGTAAGGGAGAAATGATTATTTTACATTCTGATTTCATTTCAGGTTGTCATAATAACCCCTGTGATTCTGGAGGAACCTGTGTAGAAGGACCAGGAGATGGAACCTTTGTTTGCTTATGTTTACCTGGCTACAGTGGAATTACTTGTAACAAAGTGAATGGTAAAGTTATTTTATTAGCTCAAAATTTTTAGTTGTCTGCAAATATCTTGAAAACAATAATAGATAGAGAGAAGCTGTAAGCAGGAAAATTATCAGTAAGTGTAGAAATAATCAATTTTAACAAAATTGTATATTGATTCCTTGTTGGAGTCATTTCCTCATACCTGTCAACTGACCCGGATCCTGCGGGTGTGACCCGAGATTTTCACAATTCTGATGGGTCACCCGGAACACCCGCCAGGTGACCAAATAACCCGTTTTCACCCGGATTCCTAAGCCTTCAGACTGATTAGATATAAACTGATTTCTTTAAAATACCGGCAAACTCGTAATTCTTCCTTGACAAGAAGTTCAACTAGCTGTGTAAACTCAGCTCAAGTGACCCATTTCAGTGCATGGCTTCACTTGACAGCTTTGGTGTCAAACACACTGTTAATTAACACCAATTACCTTAGCTTTAGGTCGTAAATAATTTGTGTATTTCAAAGTTGTTTTAAAAACAACTTGAGTTACTTCCCCTTTTTTGTCAATTCACAATATACTCCTTAAACTTATGGTTTTTTTTGTAAAAAGATTAAATCTAAGATGAATTGAATGCAAAAACATATCAGAATAATACTTCTACTTATTGTTTTACCTTAGAACAATTAAAAAATAAAAATTTTGAAAAATTACTTTTTTCATCTATACCTCCTTTAATTGTTTAACTTTATTTTATTATACTCTAATATCAACCTCTGTAATGTTTCACTGCTATAAAGCTGCACAAATGTATGCAAAGAAAACACAAATTGGCACATTGTATGCCATGGACTGAATATGAGCAGGAATAAAGGCAATGTAACACAAATCCATCAATGGCCTCCCAAGTGCAATGAAATAATAAAATGTACAATTTTAAATTACTTAACCATGTGGACATGTTTTGGAAACTTTGATATAAATTATAAGAAAAATATCCCCTAAATACTGAAATTCAGCTCGAAAAAGTTCGTACGCGTTATGACCTGAGATTTCATTCTTCTATGCAGGTCATCACCTGCATTTTCATTGTCATAGGTTGACAGGTATGTTTCCTTTAAATGTCAACTTTACCCTTTTTTTTTTCCATGTTTGGTTATTTTCTTGATAAATATAATAGATTGAAAGAAAATCCACAAAAACAATCAGGTTGATTAGATTTACTTATCAGAAAGTTGTAGCAGTAATAAAGGGTATAGTGCAAAGTTAACGTAAGTCCACTGATGTGCCACACTTGAAACGATCAATCTTCAGTTAACTTAACTATCAAACTGTCATTTCATGAAAATTATTCATATGAAAAGAATAAATTAACCATGTTAATGACTTTATTCCCCTTGATTCCCCAGTGGTTACCTTAATTGTCTTGAATGTTTTGTTACAGTCTAGAGAGATTTAAAACATGTCTGGCTGGCTCAAATTTCTTATTGAAAGCTTGAATGGAAGATATAGTAATTAATAGATAGATTTTCATGAGACAAAATCAAATGAACATTAAGCAATTTCATCTTTTAAGACATGAACATTCTGAACAAAATGCTGCTCTTGAGCTTGGGAGTTACTTTAAAATTTCCAGGGATGAAGAAAAATATCATGCTGTGTTACAAGTTAAAATGACTCCATGTATCGAATTAACAGTATCTTAGAACCAAAGTTCATGCATAGAGTAATATTACTACAAAGTTTTATTGTCTGCGATCAAACAGTTTTTAAAGTATCTCAAATCTTAAGTTATTACGAAAGAAATGAAACTTTTCCATAGAATCACTTTCTCTTGGTCAAGTTATTTAAACTTTTGTCAGTTCTCTTGTCTCATTTAATAAACACAACAGCTATTGTTCTCTGTGTAGTTTATTCACTGGGACCTTTAAATTTCTTCTAAGAGAAATCAATCATTCATTGATTAATTTGTCTGAAGAAAAAAAATATCTTCTAAGTAGATGAAAATACATGCATCAACTCACAAACCTGCTTGTGATGTTGTATTTATTTAATATCAATAATATATTTTCAACCTGTTCAATATAAACACTGAGTCAATCATAAAAAAGTTGATTTTTGACCAAATTTTAAGCATTGTTCCTATTGAAATTTGTGGGTTTTTTTGTGTGTTTGTTTAGTCATAGAATACATTTAAGAAGCCTTGATTTAAACATCGTCTTTTTCCAGTTTTTATTTGTCAAACACACAAAAAAACAAATTTTATTAGGAACAATGTTGAAATTTTGTCAGAAATCAACTTTTAATGTTTACATAACAATTATTTGATATTTTCTTTGGATTTATATCCTTACTACATAGACATACTTACACTAGCCAAACATTTTATTTTAGCTACAGCTGTTGTTACATGTGACTTTGAAACAGATCTGCTTGGGAATTGTTTTATGGATTCAGACAGAACTACTGATATAGAATGGAGCATGTTATCGGTATGAACAGGTGTTGTTAATTTCATTTCCTGTATTTCTTGCTCTGAAACATATTCGAAAATATTTTTCATTTTCTGACACTCTTAATTGTTAAAACATCAAATCGATTTAATAGTATATTCAGTATTTGTGTTGCCTGAACCACATTGTAACAAGAATTCTTTGGATGATATAGATCTGTAGTTCAGCTTATAGTAAAGTGAACAATGTTGTGACAAGACCTTTTTGGATAAGATTGATTATAGTCTAATGGTACAAACTTGTGACATGAAATATTTTTATAAGAAAGGTTTATGGCACAGTATAAACAGTGCAATCTGTGTTACTGTAGAAAGGTCTTTGGTACAGTCTGTACAGTGAAATCTGCAAGATAGATAGGATAGGTCTGTGGCCTTAGGTACAGGATATACAGTAAATCTTGTAAATATATATGGTACAATTAAACGGTGCAACCTGTGTTATAGATTTGTGGTACAGTATGAGCAGTGTAATCTTTACTACTGTTCATAGAACTGTTGAACAGTGTTTACAGCATAACATATTTTACTGCAGATAGGTATGGGCTACAGTGTAAACAATGCAATGTACTGTAAATTCAGAAATTATTGCGTGCATTTATTATTGCAATTGTTAAAAAATGGACATAAATGCGAGTTTAACTATTGCGATGTCAGGAAAATCTGCATACAGATATGTGTATCAGATATCAAAATGCAAGTTCTTATTATTGCGATACTCACCCAGTTGAATTATTCATATGCAATCTGTGCTATTCTACATAGGTCTGTAGTACAGTGTTTACAGCATTACCTGTATAACTGTAGATAAGATTGGGCTACAGTGTAACCTAGCTGTGTAAGTATGAATAGGTTGTGGTACAGTTTACTGTAAATTCAGAAATATTGCAAGGTTTTTATTAATGTGAATAATGCGACATGGTGATCTCGCATTTTTGTCCATTCTTCAAAAATTGCAATAATTTCTGAATTTACAGTATATAAAAAGTGAAACCTGGGTAAGTTAACTAAACCACAAACTTCTTTAAAAATATTATGTTGATCAAGAAAGGTTCTTGTGGTATAATTTACATTACTTGTGTGGAGGTCTGAGGAAATTCAATGAAATTTTCAGATGTCAGATATTTTTGATTTTATGAATTGTTTGCATATACACTATATTTTCTAGGCATTTTACATGAGTTCCAGAACAGTTTACCCACAGACAGGTCATATTATGGCGGGTTTATATATTTACAAACTGACATATTATGGTGATGTTGCTCGACTTGTCACAAATTTAGATTTTGAAGGTAACATTATTTTTGTGAAGAAATCCCCAAAGAGAGCATACTTGACATTGTTGTAGTATAGAAACAATATTTCAGATGTTTAATCCACTGGCCTTCTTCTAAATTAGTTTAGAGAAATAACCAGAGAAGCTGATAAAGGCCAGAAGCTGAAAGGTCTGAAAGTAGTAACATCATTATTATTTATTATCAAATAAGACTGCTGTGTTTGTCTATTTACATCAGAATTCATATTGCTAGACAATTTTGTGGAACAATAAATAAATCTTTGATCTACAGTATGTTGATGGTTGTATTTACAGAACCAAAACTATCCAAAATATGTAGTATTTATAGATTTTTCTCTTTTCATTTTAATTCTTTGGTAAAATAAGTGTACTCTTTTAATTCTTTATCAATCACATTTGTTATCTATAAAATGGAAACGTTTAGCTTGTTGATATTATACGATAAAGGTGCACTATTCAACAGTAGCATGGTTGAATTTTCTTTGATTCTACTATTAGAAATTGACATCAATGATTAACAGTCAAAATAAATTGATTTTATAGAAATTACATTTTTCTCGTGGATTTCTAATGGAAATATATGATTATCAAATTTAAAAACTCGGAAAGGCAGTCCAATCAGTTTGTTATTAAATTTTTAGTTCACACAATTTTCTGTATTTTTCATATATAAGCTGGAGATAGATGTTTACAGTTGGAATACCAGATTACAGTATATGCAAATGATCCCAATTTCTACCTGGATATAAGTTACACTGGTAAAGATCAGTCTAAGACATCACTTTTATACCAGAAAACAGATACTTCAAACAAGTGGAAAAGTTTAGATCTGGATATACCATCAGTTGAGGATTTAAAGGTAAAGCAGTGTTAGTTTTAAAGAATTAAATAGAAAATGCTCTTTACACTGAGAACTTGCAGATTTTTAGCAAAAATTATCAGCAGGACAAGATCTACAAATAAGTCAGAGTGACTGAAACCGTAAGTCGGTTCATTAAGGAAGTTATTGCCCTTTAATGACGATTTTACTTAATTTTTGCATTTTTGCCTATTATCTTGAAAACTAAAATAGGAAGAAACTTTATATAGCAAAAATGATCAGCAAGACAAGATCTACAAATAAATGATCATGGCTGAAATCTTCGGTCAACTCACTATTGGAGTTATTGTCCTGTAATGATAACTTTTACCATTTTTTGTGTTTTTGCCTATTATTTTGAAAACTATAAATAGATAAACATGATAAATAGAAACTTTAAAAAGGATAATGATCAGCATGATTAGATCTATAGATATGTCAACATGATTGAAATTATCAGTTAACTCTTAATAGAGTTATTTCATTATAATATTGATTTTTGTCGCAAAAGCGAGACATAGCGATCCTACATTCCGGCGGCGGCGTCCACAAATATTCACTCTGTGGTTAAAGTTTTTCAAATTTTAATAACTTTCTTAAACTATCCTGGATTTCTACCAAACTTGGACAGAAGCTTGCTTATCATCATTAGATAGTATCCAGAAGTAAATTTTGTAAAAAAAAATCCTGTTTATCCGTATTTTACTCATAAATGGACTTAATTTTTCTGCCAGTTAACATTACATTCACTCTGTGATTAAAGTTTTTCAAATTTTTAATAACTTTCTTAAACTATCCTGGATTTGTACCATACTTGGACAGAAGCTTGTTTATGATCATAAGATAGTATTCAAAAGTAAATTTTGTTAAAAAAAAAAATCCTGTTTATCCTTATTTTACTTATAAATGGACTTAGTTTTTCTGCCAGTTAACATTACATTCACTCTGTGGTCAAAGTTTTTCAAATTTTAATAACTTTCTTAAACTATCCTGGATTTGTACCATACTTGGACAGAAGCTTGTTTATGATCATAAGATAGTATTCAAAAGTAAATTTTGTTAAAAAAAAAATCCTGTTTATCCGTATTTTACTTATAAATGGACTTAGTTTTTCTGCCAGTTAACATTACATTCACTCTGTGGTTAAAGTTTTCAAAATTTTAATAGCTTTCCTAAACTATCCTGGATTTGTACCAAACTTGGACAGAAGCTTGTTTATGATCAAAAGCTAGTATCTAGAAGGAAATTTTGTAAAAAAAAATTTCCTGTTTTTCCGTATATTACTTATAAATGGACTTAGTTTTTCTTCCAGTTAACATTACATACAGTCTGCAGTTAAAGTTTTTAAAACATTTATTAGATTCATAAACCATCCTGGATTCTTACCAAACTTGAAAGAAGCTTCTTACATTCAAAAGATAGTATCTAGAGGAAAATTTTTAATAATAATTTCCCCATTTTTGTTGAGCCTGCGACTCGCAGCAAAAGTTGCCATTGTTCAAGATGCAGGTGAGCAACACAGGCTCTTTATTGCACTATCTAGTTGTTCACAACTGCCCTTCCAGTATTTCTACACTACTTCTAGAAGAATTTTGACTTCCTATGTTACCCATTTTGCACTAAGATACAATTTAATGTCCACTGAACATAGAAAATGATGTGCGAGTGGGGCATCCGTGTACTATGGACACATTCTTGTTTCTCATTTATATAATTTTAAATATTTTCCATGGTAGGAAATGTGATTGTATGATTTTATTTTTTTTTCTTTGTCCTAAGATTCATTGATTGATTTTTTGTTTGCTTAACATCTGTTTTCATTCCTAAGATTGATTAATTATGCATATTGCATTGCTAGGGAAAAGTTGAATTGCCTTATGGTACAGCTGTTTGTTAAAGTTTCATGTAGTTCTGTTAGCTTCATGATAATGCACAGAAACATCACATGCAATGATTTCTTGAATATTGAGATAACACTCATTTATAAAAAACGAGATTTCATAACTTTGATTTCAGATTACCATAGAAGCTGCAGTTGGTGATCGTGAAGTGATTATTGATAATCTTGTTCTGTCACCAGGGCCATGTAGTAAGTTTTTGCCTTTATTTTATACATGTTATTCATATTGATGATACTTATGTATAATAATGTTTAAAGATAACAAATTTAAAGTTATATTTGTTTATTGTTTCTTTGAATGCAAATAATTGTATTGTGTGATATCATCTCAAAATCAGTTGCAAAATCTATTTTTATAATTTTGATAAATGTAAAAATGATTATATGAGGATTACCAGCATAATGAATTTAAACATAATTTACCAATAGAATATAGTCTAAACATTTGAAACAATTTACATCAGCTTGAAGTAATGAATGTTGCAGATAATATTTCAATCTGTGATAACAATATTTCGAGTTATGTTATAGGTGGACCATGTGCATCTACCAAGCCATGCCAGAATGGAGGACTTTGTATTCCCAATGGTTCTACAAAATACACTTGTCAATGTCTGACTGGATTTACTGGGGAGGATTGTACACTGACAGGTGGGTTAATTATATTCCTCTTTTATATTTCTTTTTTGTTGATTAAAACACTTACACTTATGCCATAAAAATTTGTATTGTAAAGGATCAAACCAGATTACATTATGAATAAGACAGACATCTATTTCTTGAAATAAGATCCAACTCGGACTTATTTTTTTCTTAAATCTGGCTTGTTAATATTAATCTAAAATTTTAAAAATACAAAAGGTTAGATTGACACTGATTTATATTCACTAGGTATGTTATTTCTAATAATTATGAATGCTATAAGAACCTCCTTTATGTGTATCCAGGTTTAAACTGCATAAGTTTATGAAATTATTCAATTAGTCAGTTGTCAAGTTGTGTATAGTATTTAATTCATCTTTTGTATAGTATTTTATTTACCTTTTTTGTAGGAGCATTAACCACATACAGCTGTACATTTGAAGATGGTGCAGATTGTTTTCTGTCACAATCAAAGACTGATCAAAAGAACTGGGTTGTTACATCTGTAAGTTGTTTTAAATTTCCTTCATTTTATAAACAGTTTTCCTGTCTGGAACCCCAGAAAAAAGAATTATTTCATAAGGTTGCTATTTAGTTTTGATGTTTCATGCCAAAAATGTTCACCCATTGATTTACAATCTTTTCTATTACTTATTTCCGGAAAACATAGACAAAACAAATGTGTCTGTTATTATCTCCCTTGAAACTGGTAGATAAACCCTTAAAAAGACAATACAAAACATGTTTATAAATCTCTTATAGAACTTAATATTTACTGCTTTGGTTTAAATTATTATTTCTTATACTCCTGTACTGAATGAGGGGTTAAACTGCTTTACCCCTGTCTGTCCTTCTTTATGTCAGTCGGTCATCTGAAATTTACGTTACATTTTTCAAGAGAACTAGAAATCAGTGCTTCCTGAAATGTGTTATATGGCTTCATGTCAGCATGCTTTACTGTATGACACTTTCAGATTCATTGTTCATCACCTTCCTGTTTACCAAATATTTCCATATTATTCTAACACATACAGGCCATATATGAAATTTAGTCACATTTTTCTTGGGAACTTCTAAAAAGAGCATTTTGAATTGACCTTCTTGTTAAGTTTTAGATATCTTATACATCAAACTTTGGAAACGACCTACAGAAGATAAGAACGCAGATTGATTGCTGTAAAGTTTTCATCAATTTTAGTTGGGAAAAGGGTATATTTTGGTACATTGTACGTGTTATAAACTGTAGTTTAACCTAGGTTGTAGAAATGTCTTTCATGGTAAACTGTGTCAATCAGCTGCATTAACTCCTTATTGTTAATGTTTCTACCATTGTTTACTTGCAGAAAGCAACACCATCAGCAGTTACTGGACCATCATTTGCTGCAGAAGGATTATTCTTCAGTTATCTAGAAACATCATCAACAAACGAGGGACAAAAAGCTGTTTATCAAGCAAATGTTGAATTTCAAGGTAAACTTTACTAACCATTAAAAAGACTCAAGTATCTTACACAGTAGATGTGCAGCATAAATATAATGAATATTAATATTATCTGCTTAAATAGAAGTTATAGATGAAAGGTTGTCTCTGTCCAGACTGTCACTATGGTGTTGATGTTTTCTTGTTCAAATGATATCTTTAGCAGAAATTATCAAATTTTTGCAAATCTCTAGAATTAATAGATACAACAATGTTTATTATGAACAGGAAATATAAACTTTGAGAAATATTATTTATAATAATGTTTTTAGCCTGTCATTTTGATGTTATATATATATTTGGTATAAAAGAAGCACTTTAAACATGATATATTGGTATTTATTATTTTACAATTATTATTTAGCAACTGACAGATGTTTGATATTCAGCTATCATATGTTTGGATTGTCTGTGTCCAGTCTAGCAGTAAAAGTAAAGGGAAATGAGATAGAGGAAACTGTCAAATGGATCAAATATTACTCCCATGGTAACAGGTGGCATCAAGCTGGGATAGATATACCTTCTATGGCTGGTCTGGAGGTATAGAATATTACCAACAAAGCTATTTAAGATTATAAGATTTGATGTTAATTTTATTGAGACAGCAGTTCAGCAACACAAATACATCTATTTTTAAAGATCATAGTATGGTCTTTGGCAATAGACAGTGACGTGCTGGTCTTTGGCAATAGACAGTGACGTTCTGGTCTTGGGCAATAGTCAGTGACATGGTGGAGATGATACATGTTTACTCTTTAATAACACTGTAATTAGTGAGAATCTAGCCAGTTAAACTGCAAAGAGTGAACATTATGAAATATTTATGACCTAATGAGGTCAAGGTAGGTCAAAAATTGATTTTTTTTATCACAAAACAAAAAGTTGTGCTCCAAGTTCAGCATGAGGAGAGGATGAATCCAAAAAATATTCATATATTACAGTTCAAAAGTAGATATTTTAAAGCAATAATAATGTCTTTTCGTGCTTTGAAAAAAGTGGTAAATGTGGTTTATAACACACATGGATAAATCATATATGTATTCTAACAATAATATTTTCACCAAATGTATTTTTCATTTTAATTTATGTATATTCAAATAGATTTACATTGAAGCTTCTAGTGGTGGTGATTATATGGGAGACATTGCCATAGATGATGTACTGCTTAGGCCTGGACTTTGTTGTAAGTATTCTAGACATGTATTATAAACATATATGAGCTCAGTTGGTCTACAGTTGTGACCAGATTCAGGAGTAAACATTGCCACAGAAAATATTAATAAAAAAATAAATTGCACAAATCTGCCTTATAGTCAAAATAATGTGTTTGAGTAGTCATGTCACCATGAGAATAGCTACCTTGTCATCTAGTATGTTTCAAATCTAACTCATTGTGTCAGTCTAGTACAAATCTGGATATAGTATATGGCATAGTAAAAATAAGGATGATATGCATGTTTATTGGAAGCCATGAATGTTTTTTTTAATTTTTATGCTGAAATATTAGCAAACATTACATTCATACTACTGTTTTTTTTACAAATTACATAATATTGTGAATTCCCATCCAATTTGATCAAAAGTCAACTTTTTATGTAGAATCCCTTATTGATTTATGGATTGGTAGGTCAAAGTTTAAGGTCACATTGCCTATGAATAGACAGAAAGTTTTGTCTCTAGACAAAATTTATGTGCTATTGCATAGATCTTAAATCTTAAGTGAATAATGGTTTTTGGGGTGAAAAAGACCTTTATGATTTGGAGATAACTGAATCAACAACTTACTATAGCTCGTTCAGTTTCATTGATATATGGGGCTCTTTCCAACATCTTCTTATATAGCACATTATACTGTTTGCATAATACTGTATTTATAATTGTTTTTAAGAACATTTTTCAACTTTTCCTTGTTGACATTATGCACACATATACTCTGTCATGTGTAGCCCTTTATTCTTATCTGATCAAGCATTGTTAGATTTTCTAGCATTTTGAACTCTACTTATTTCAGTATGTGATTCCAGTCCATGCATGTTTGGTGGAACCTGTATCCCTGTTGACAGCTCCACCTATCAGTGTTCATGTGCAGCTGGATTTAGTGGAGAAAATTGTCAAATTGTTGGTAAGATATTACTCATATAGTAATGTAAGTAAAATGGTAAATATTATGTTTTTTGTTTTAAATGGATGCTTTTGAAATTCAATCTGTGCCTTGTTTGTCAACTGAGATTTCACAATATTACCTAATGCATGTACCACCAATGCTGTCATAACTTCCCAAAAGAAACATTATCAAATGTAGTTTTGGAAATTATTAATTAGAAATATTAAGGAAATCTGAATTTAAGGCCATTTTTGTAGTTCAATGATGTTTCTTGTGCACTAGACATATGTCACTTTGATATAAAAGTTTAAAAAAACTGTAGTTTCAAGAAAATTTCAACTTTCTGTTGTGTCTAATATCAAATGTTTTAGTTTAAAAATATATGGAACTTTTTTCTCATAATAGTATTCAGTTAGTTTTGATTTGACAAAATATCACCATTTACACTACAATAAAAATGATTATAACTGAACTACAATAGTTGTACATAATAAATTCTACAAGAATTAAAATGATTAAAGACTGGGGAAGTAATGCTCTACCATAGGCATGTCTTACTGCTATATGACACACTTTTTGGATGTTGGATATAAGGGGTGAAAAAAAGTGGGGATGTGGGATATAGAGGATAAAAAAGTGGGATGTGGGATATAGAGGGTAAGAAAAAGTGGGATCTGGGATGTAGGGGGTAAAAAAAAGTGGGATCTGGAAAAGAGAAGGAAAAAAGCAGGATTTGGGGAAATGAACACCCCTGTGTCACCCTACTCATATATAAATATACTTTTGTCCATCACTTTTCCCTAAAAGTTTGTCTATTATTTGTAGATACTGCAGCTTTGATCTGTTCATTTGAGAATACATTTTGTTCTTTCTTGGAGCAAGACCAGAACAATGATACTATAGACTGGAAGTTAAATGATGTAAGTTCTTTTTAGTTTCACCAGGTTGTATGATATATTCTGTTTAACCAGGTCAATTTGTATGTACATTCAGTTTCACCTGGGCTCTTGGTCATAAAATATTGACTCGGTACTCTGTGCTCCAAACACCTAATCCATTATTTTGATTGGTTGAATTTTGTGAGTCTTGAGTATGATAAACGTATTACCATACTCCAAATGATTATGACCGCATAGCCTGGTCAATTTGTATGCATATTCAGTTTCTATGTATATTCAGTTTCACCTGGTCAATTTTTATGCATATTCAGTTTCATGTGGTCAATTTGTATGTATATTCAGTTTCACCTTGTCAATTTTTATGCATAAATTTTTAAGTATATTCAGATTCACCTGGTCAATTTATGTATATAATGGTCAGCATTTTTATTATACCTTCAGGATAATTCATGATTTCAACTGTATTTTAAGATATAAACTCTTTAAGAAGAAATAAATGGATTGCCTTTAAAATGTGTAGAATAGCTAAAAAATTTGGATTGTTTTATTATGAATATAATCATTTAGATACGAACGGTATTCATATTAATAATATCCGATATATAATTAAAGGGACACACATCAACGTCAGGAACAGGACCTTCCAGTGCTGCAGCAGGGACATACTACCTGTACATAGAGGCTAAGGGTAACTCGGACTCTACTGCCAGACTGCACTCACTACAGCTATCAGGTATTTACATCAGCAGACAATTAAATGAAGCCTAACTGATTGGTTTAAAGTCATAAATCAAGAGCTATTTAATATTGGATACAGGTGATTTGTTGTCAAAAGCAACAGGAATTTCTGTTAAATATCAAATGCAGTTTATCAGTATCAAATGTGTAATCATATGTATTTCATCTCAATGATATTTGTCCCATGAACATGAAACTTCATACTTTTCACAATCAATTTGACAATGATGGACAAAATTTCGATTGTTCAAATGTAAAAAGAATCAAGTACAGTTAATAGGAATGAAGTTTTTTTTCAGTTTGATGTCAAGGAAACGTCCCTTTTATTTGAGTGCACTTTATGATGAATAAAGTTAAAAACATATTTCTGGGGTTAGCTATAAATCCTAACAAATAACCTTAATAATTTTATCAATAAAAAAATGATTTTAGAAACTGAGCATTGTATGAAGTTCTCCTACTATATGTATGGTGTAAATACTGGTTCCCTGAATGTGATAACAGATGATGGTGGAGGGGAGATAACTCAGTGGACACGATCTGGAGATCAAGGACAAAGTTGGCATCAAGTTGAAATTGATTTGAACTTTACTTCAACATCTAGGGTAAAGTTTATATACAATGTATTAAAGCAGTATTTCACTTATTTTGATATTATGCCCCCCGCCGCAGTGGAGGGGTATTAAGTGTTACCCATGTCTGTCTGTAGATCTCTACGTCCATACATGCATACATCCCAAAATTTGTTTCTGTTCTCTAACTTAAGTTTGCCTCAACCAAATGTTATGAAACTTATACACAATGCTTATTTCCACCAAACTCTGATCAAATTTAAAATTTAGTTGGCGTCACATTTACCGTTCTTAAGTTATGTCCCTTTTTAAAGTTATATGCAAGCGGGGGGATCATCTGTGTCCCATGGACACATTCTCCATTTATTTTCAAATATGATAGAAAGAAGTCTGTAGCACACTCATGGTATCAAGTTATCATTCTTTGAGGTGTCTTATTTGCTAACAGCAATTTAAGCATGTAAATGGATTTCGGTATGGGTTTTTCTCATTGTTGAAGGCCGTACGGTTGCCTTTAATTGCTTACATCCACTTCATTTGAACTTTGGTTGATATTTGTCTCATTGGCAATCATACCACATCTCCTTATTTTTATATTCATCCTGATAATTGTCAGTTTTTTTTTTTACATTGAAGAGTCTGTAAAAGAGTAGACCAATGTTTTATTTAACTTACATCCTAGTCATACTAAATATATTTCATTGTTTGTATTTCATAAACACAAAATAATTTTAGTGGAATTATCTTTATAAAACCACAAATGATAAGTCAGTCTTTTTATTTCTTGCAGATGATAATAGAAGGAATTGTGGGAAGTGGAGAAAAATCTGACATTGCTGTAGATTTTATTTTTATATCACCTTTGTCTTGTGGTAAGTTTTTAGGTCAAGCTTATGAAGTAGGTAAAAAATCAAAACATGCAAAACTTCAAATGCTTTTTAGCTCACCTGGCCCGAAGGGCTAAGTGAGCTTTTCTCATCACTTGGCGTCCGTCGTCGTCGTCCGTCGTCGTTAGCTTTTTACAAAAATCTTCTCCTCTGAAACCACTGGGCCAAATTTAACCAAACTTGGCCACAATCATTATTAGGGTATCTAGTAATGTGTCCGATGACCCTGCCAACCAACCAAGATGGCCGCCATGGCTGAAAATAGAACATAGGGGTAAAATGTAGATTTTGGCTTATATCTCTGAAACCAAAGCATTTAGAGTAAATCTGATATAGAGTAAAATTGATTATCAGGTCAAGATCTATCTTCCCTGAAATTTTCAGACAAATCTGACAACCTGTTGTTGGGTTGCTGCCCCTGAATTGGTAATTTAAAGGAAATTTTGCAGTTTTAGGTTATTATCTTGAATATTATTATAGATAGAGATAAACTGTTAATAGCAATAATGTTCAGCAAAGTAAGATCTACAAATAAGTTGTCATGACCAAAATTGTCAGTCGACCCCTTTAGGAGTTATTGCCCTTAATAGTCAATATTTAACAATTTTTCGTGAATTTTTGTAATCTTTTACAAAAATCTTCTCTGAAACTACTGAGACAAATTTAACCATACTTGGCCATAATCATTATTAGGGTATCTAGTTTAAAAAATTTGTCCGATGACCCCGCCTTCCAACCATCATGGCCAACTTGGTTAAAAATAGAACATAGGGGTAAAATGCAGTTTTTGGTTTATATCTCTGAAACTAAAGCATTTAGAGCAAATCTGACAGGTGGCAAAAATGTTCATCAGATTTAGATTTATCTGCCCTGAAATTTTCAGACGAATCCGATAACCCGTTGTTGGGTTGCTGCCCCTGAGTTAGTAATTTTACAAAAATTTTGCAGTTTTTTGTTATTATCTTAGATATCATTATAATATCTAATATCTAATACTATTAATTATGATTTTAACCTTATTTTACATGATTTCCAAAGCATCAGTAAATACAGGTGAGTGACACAGGCTCTTGAGAGCCTCTAGTTTTCTTCAGAGTTACTTTCGGGGAGAGATCATTGCAACACATAACATCACATTAAATGGAAATTACAAAAAGTCTTTAATATATTTTATACATATTTGAATTCATTGTTCATCATCACATAGAAAAATATTAGTTCATTATAATTTTTTATACATTTTAGATAAGAATGCATCTTTTTGTTCTCCAAATCCATGTCAGAACACTGGAATATGTACGGAAACAGCCCTATCTTTTACTTGTAGTTGTAAAAAGGAGTTTACTGGAAATGTCTGTGAATTGGAAGGTTGGTAATTTATAGTAACTTGATATTAACATTTATTTGGGGAAAAAAGTACTATTCTGTTGAAACATGATAACTTAAAGTCAAAGGAAGCAGGCATAATTATTTGACTTATCAGAAGTTAAGAGCAATCTTAGGGCACAAGTTACATCATGTTTTTCTGTTTCAATATTGTACCTTGTTTTGCTAACCAGGCATGGGAATGTTTGAAAAAGTATTTTATTGTCAATTCAGCTGCATCACTGATATTTTAAAAACAATAAGAATAAAAGAGGTAATCTTTTTGATATTATTTAAATAAATTAGTTGAAATCTTAATGTTTCATTCGTCTTAATGGATGTTCCCTGTAGCTGCACCCTTTTTGCACCAATTTCTAGTTTTGCACCAAAATGGAAATATCATGGCGGATCACATATGTATATCAATCCGTAGTAAATTATGGTACCTTAAATACAGTACTTTATGGAATAAATGGGACTATTTTTGCATACAGAGTGGAGAAATAAGGTGGTGTTGGACAACAAAAGACTGTCTTGCTGGTATATACACAGATAAGCAGTGCAATACTATTTAATTGGATCTCTGTCATACCTAGATGAGACCAACTCACAGAAATAAAAGTACCAAGTACTTTAAATGATCTGTAAAAGAAAGTCAAAAGAAATGATATATGAGGTCATGAAGATGGTTATAGAAACAAAATGATTGACATGGTACTATAAATATATATATATACTATAGGAATAAAAGGCATCAGATCCTGATGCTAAATAAAAACATGATAAGAAAAATTTATTCAGTGTTTTGAAATTATTTTTTTTCATTTTAAATTTTTCTTGTACTTTGGCGTCATGGTATTTTCATTTTTCATCACGGGGAATTTTATTTTAATTAAACTATTTTATAGTGGTTGATGGTAACTGGGGATCCTGGACTGATGGCTCATGTTCAGTAACATGTGGCGATGGACAAATAGTAAGAACTCGTACATGTGATGATCCATTACCGGCCAATGGTGGAGCATCTTGTGAAGGATCAGCCAATGAAATTGAAGTTTGCAATGAAGGGGCATGTCCTCCAGTCAATGGTAACTGGGGATCATGGTCCGATTTTACTTCCTGCTCAGTAAGTTGTGGTGGAGGTACACAGGCCAGGATAAGATCATGTGATAATCCTGTTCCAGAGTCTGGAGGAATATACTGTATGGGACCAGCTACAGAATCACAGTCGTGTAATGATGAAAAATGTCCAGGTTAGATCAGTGTTGATTTTGTTTTGAAAATCTGCAACATAAGATGACGCCAATAATATTTAATTTCCATTCATTTTTATACAAAAATTAACCAAACAAACCATTTATAAAACTCATTAGTAGTGTTCAAAGTCCAGCTTCAAGATATTCATTTATTTATCCTGTCATTTACTTATATTCAAATTCCTGTATGAATTAATATTAGGCAGGATGACTGAAATATTCTTGTGTTCTGCTTTAATTTGACTAAAATTCCAGAAATTTCTATATCATTGTAACTGTGTCCTTTCCTGTAAGTATTTTAATCTAATGTGTATTTTTATATTTTAAAAACCACTACAAATTAACACTTGTGTATAATTACCAATGAGACAACTTTCTACCAGAGACTTAATGACATAGAAGTTTACGACTATAGGTTACTGTATGGCCTTTGAAAATGAACAAAACCCATACTGCATAGTCAGCTATTAATGCCCTGAATTAACAAATGTAAAACAATTCAAACGAGAAAACTAACGGCCTGATTTAAGTACAAAACAATGAACGAAAAACAAATATGATATAAAGCAACAAACAACAACCACAGAATTACAGGCTCCTGACTTGGGACAGGAAAATACAGAATGTGGCTGGTTGAACTAGTTTGTTGCCACCAAACTCTCCCCCTAACCTGGGACAGTGGTTTGACAGTACAATATAAGAACAAACTATAAAAATCAGTTGAAAAGGGCTTAACTCATCAGATCAATACAAAGCAGACAAACATCAAAAACACAGATTGGACATGGCAGGGTATTTATACATCCCTAACAACAACAACAACAAAAAAAGTACACTTCCAATAGTCTTATTTGCATAGATCACTCACCTGCCCAAAATAAACTGTTGGTTTGGAATATATTAACTTAGCATATCCACTAAGTCATTATGTGACTCCTGACATTATATAGAAAAAGAATATTTGGTGAAAACAAACATTTTTATACAAAGCCCATTACCGCTTACGTAATAATAAGAACCAATTGTTTTACTAACTAATGCATGAATCCTGATTAGTCTAAAGATTGTGTCATTGTTTTTTAGCTGATGAAACATTTACTTGTACATTTGAGGCCAGTGACAGTTCCTGTTTTCTTACTGATGAAAAAAATCCATCAAGAGATATATTTGATTGGACTACAAACTCTGTAAGTTGATTTTTGTACCAAATAGATATTTCCTTGCTTCCTAAAAATATCATATATATTAACACTTCTAAGTAGCAAGCACTGCATTTTATTTTATAAAGATGCCATAAAGCTTGTTTGTTGCCCTAACAAAACATTTCATTATAGTATTGATATATTTATAGGGTCCCACTAAAATAAAGAAGACTGGGCCCTCATTTGCAGCCAGTGGAACATTTTACAAATATATAGAAACTTTGAAACCTAGGAAGAAAGGACAAAATGCAAGGCTTGTCAATTCACAGAGTCTTAAAGGTATAACTGTATAAGGACAGTGCAGATAAAGTTGTATATTTTGGATTTATATTGTCCTTGCTATTGTTTTCCTTTAGATTTAATGCTACCATTTGTGATCATAGATTGGCTCAGTTCTTTGACCATTCATTTTAAAAATTCACAAGCTTATTTTTACTTTGAATATTTTTTTCCCCTGCATTTCATCATAGTAAATTGTACAATTTCAGCTTTAAGTAGATGTCTCAGCTTTTCCTACAACATGAATGGTCCCCAAATAGGATCTCTGAATGTTCTACGTATAGATTCTGACGGACAGGAAACAATTCTATGGAGTAAAAATGGAAACAAGGGAAATGTGTGGAGGCACGGAAATGTTAATGTTATTACTGAACCAGATCTGCAGGTAATTTAGTTACATCTTTGAAGGAATAGTGAGAAAAACTTATAACATTTTTTGTTTGTGGCCTGTTTTGACAATTAATACTGTAAATTCAGAAATTATTGCGTGCATTTATTATTGCGAATTTAGTAGAAAGGACTAAAATGCGAGATTAATTATTGCGATTTCAGAAAAATGTACATACAGTTATATGTATCAGATATCAGAATGCGAGTTCTTATTAATGCGATACTCTTTCAGTCGCATTATTCGCATTAATAAAAACCTCGCATTAATTTCTGAATTTACAGTAGTCTGGAAATTCTTTTGAGGATGACAAGAATGATGTGCGTTTTATTTTTTGCTCCATTGAAAAAGAGTTCAAACATGCTAAGAGGGAATCAGAAACGATAAATCTATTAAAGACAGGCAATAATTTGACAAAGATAAAAAAAAAAAAAAACAGCAATGATTTACAAATATAATAGAGAACAGAACATTGAGCTATACCAATCACATTTAAAATGGAATTTTAAGGTACCCTTAAAGGGTAAACAGTTCCTGTTCCAAAAATAAGAATTGATTGATTGGTTGTTTGTGTTTAACCCCACTTTGAGCACTCTTAGCAATATCATGGTGGCCAGTTTTAATTAATGGAGGAAGCCAGAGAATCGCTGACCTTCTGCAGGGAAACTGGCAATTCTAGTTAAGTAATATCTGTCAAAAGCACCTGCCATGAGCAATTTTTGAACTCACAACCTCAATGTTGACAGGATAGTTATCATTGTTGATGATTTATTTAGACCACTTGGCCACCAAGGCCCACACCATAACAAGGGAAAAACATATTTGTAGTACTCTTTGTGACACATATAATATGTAATTGCCAACCAAGTCATTATAGCTGCCATAAAAAAAATTATGTGATTATTTCAATATATATTCCTTTAGGAACTCTTAGATTTGTAGCTTCCTTGTTAACAGCAAACTTTGAATGAAATATAACATGCAGTATGAAACAAGAATTATATCTTTTCCATATACAGGTTATGCTTCAATGTGAATAGAAAGTTCATCTGAATATCATCTTTCCAAAATTAGTTTGATTTTTGTTCTAAAGCACTATGGAATATTTCACCTAAACAGCAACATTTGAAAATATACTTTTTGAGACTTATGGGTGTTGTTGCTTATGGGGGCTGGCAGTGGCGGCTTTAACAATGTATTACTTTGTGATGAGGCTAGTTTAAGGGAATCACTAGTTGTAGGTCAATCATATTTAATGTGCAATTTTATTAGGATTGACACTACTCATTTCCATTGAGATTACTTGACCGTACCCCCTCAGTCATGGCCTATTACTTTGAGACTTCTGCATAGTTTGCATGTTAAAGTTTGTGATTAGATCAGTTTAAGATAAACCACTAATTGCAAGTCCATGATATTTGGTATAAAGTTGTATTATGATTAGTACGATTTATTATCTTGAAGATTATAGGGTCCCATCCACTCAGTCATGGTCCAACTTTTGCATTGTTTATGTGTTAAAGTTTTTGTTTAGGTCCGTTTAAGGGGAATCACTTATGATAAATGTAGTTGGTATGCAGTTGTTATGTCTCATTTCCATGGAGATTATTTGGCTCTGATCCTTCAGTCATGGTTCAGTGACTTCAAATTTTTTGCATAGTTTACATGTTAAAGTTTGTGATTAGGTCAGTTTAAAGTATGTCTATGATATTTGGTAAGCAATTGTTCTATTATTGGCAGTTTTATTTTTCATATAGTTTACATGTTAAAGTATTGCCATTTTAATTTCAACATTTGCCTTATACTATCAAAATTACATACAAATGAGAGATAACTTTGCCTAAACAATTTATTTAGAACTAATACTTTTAAAGTAAATTTTGCCATTGTTTTGTTCCTTTTTGCAGCTGGCAATAGAAGGTGTTGTAGGGGGAAAGAAAGGACACATTGCTGTGGACAATATTTTACTGAAACCAGAGGAATGTCGTATGTATTTCTTTTGCTTCAGGTTTAAATGACAACCATTTGTTATCTTCAATTAATTATGAGTAAACACATTTTATCTAACCTAGTCCAACAGGCCATTTGAGCTACTGCAATTTACTTGTCAATCTTCTGTATTGGACAACTCTCTTGTTGGTTTCATGGAAGCATGCTCACTTTGATGAGTGAAGGAGATGTGGGTTCAATCCTTATCCAGGTCAAGCCAATGAGTTGAAAATTTGTATTTGCTGTTTTTCTGCTAAGCATGCAGCATTCAGTAGTAACAACAAAAACTTGTTCGCTGAGAGTCAGAATAATGTGTCTTTATAGGGTGAAATGTCTTCCTTTTGAATTACCTTGTAAACTAGACTCAGCATGTCAGTCTAGTACAAAGCAGGATTCTTATTCATATCACTTTTAACATGTCCTCATACTTAGTATTAAAATATGCAAAATTTTGCTCATTGTTGAAGGCTGTATGGTGACCTATAGTTGTTAACTTCATTGTCAATTTGTTTCAGTTAGAGAGTTGTCTCATTGGCAATCATACCACATCTTTTTATTTTTATATGTAATATTTTGCCAATCTATCCATCCAACATAAGCACCTCGATGGTCTCGATGTAGCATGTTCACCTCGAGTGCGGGAGGTCATGGGTTCGAACCCCATCTAGGTCAAACCAAATACTTTAAAACTGGTATTTGCTGCTTCTCCACTAAGCATGGAGCATTAAGGAGTAAGAGTAAAGACTTGTCGGCTTGGAGTCAGAATAAAGTGTACTGCGGACTGTTACCTTGTGAACTAGCACATTAAAAATCCAGCTCAGCGTGATGGTCTAGTACAAAGCAGGGTTAATATTCATATTACATTAACATGTTCTAGTCCTGAATATGCATATTAATTTGCCTCTGGACATTAAGCAGCCATCCATCCATCATTATATGACTGACTGTTTAGGATAACCTTTCAAAGATTCTTTATAGTGACACTGCAGGTGTACATTTAATTTAACATGGTTTTTTTTATCGTTTAGGGAATTACAAACTCATGTAATAGTTGCAAAATTAATAAACAGAATGCTTTGTTGAAAAATTAAGAACATGTTTAGGACTAGTAAAATATGGATTAAAAATATATGATGGTTAGTTATACATAATAATAACACATGGATTAAAAATATATGATGGTTAGTTATACATAATAATAACACATGGATTAAAAATATATGATGGTTAGTTATACATAATAATAACACATGGATTAAAAATATATGATGGTTAGTTATACATAATAATAACACATGGATTAAAAATATATGATGGTTAGTTATACATAATAATAACACATGGATTAAAAATATATGATGGTTAGTTATACATAATAATAACACATGGATTAAAAATATATGATGGTTAGTTATACATAATAATAACACATGGATTAAAAATATATGATGGTTAGTTATACATAATAATAACACATGGATTAAAAATATATGATGGTTAGTTATACATAATAATAATAATAACTTGTGTTAACAACTTCTTTATGGTATATTATTGTTTTAGCACCCTGTGATGTTGAACCCTGTCAGAATGGAGGAGTTTGTTCTGTGACAGGTGATTCTTATATATGTGCCTGTCCTGCAGGATTTGGTGGTCCCAACTGTCAGTATATAGGTATTTATATGTATATAGTTTTATGATTGATGATTCTTACTTATTCATACAAATGTTGAAATAATATGTAATATATGCATGCTCTTATATATTGTATTGTTAAAATATGTCAAGTGGAGAAGTCTTCATAAGTCTATTTGACTTGTGTCTTATCCAATTTGTGTTTATGCAAATAAAATATGTTTAAACTTATCTTATTTGTGTGATCATCCACAAGAATTTGGTGATACTGACTATCTGTATATAGGTATGTAGAGTCGATCCGGGTAATTTCGTACAGGCGGTTAATTACCGTACATATTACATTTCGCTTGTTTTTCTGATAAAATTGAGAAATAAAGTGTGTTTTAATATTATCTACTGATAATAAGATATGTACAATCTTGTACATGTTGTATGTTAATGTTTTTATGATTTTCTATCATAGAATATGTACATATTTGCCATTTGTCGGAAAGTTTTGTTCACAGGCTTTTTGAAAAGATGATTTCATCCAAAAAGTCACCAGATTTGTGTAAATTCTAAGTTTGGTTAATTTAATGTAAGATCTTTCTATTTTAATCGAAATTTAGAAAACTGATGGAATCTGAAAGCCAGAAATAGTTTGCAATTGACAGATACTTTTCCATGTAGTATTTATATATAAGTGCAATTATTTCCAATAAAACGGACTGAGAGTGGGTGTACGGGATAACCTTATATGATAATTTACATGCAAATGTAATGAGTCTAATATCGTACACGCCAGCTTTTAAATATGTTAATGTTCATTCAGTGATAAAGAGACTTTCAATGTTTACTTAGCTTTGCTCATATTAATGATTTTTGTTACATAATCAAATTAATTGCAAAATAAAACAAACAGAAAAAAAACAACATAAAACAACATCAATTCGATATGGGAAGAAAGAGGTCAAAATATGTTATTTTTGATTCTATGAACCACCAGTCCGCTGCCTATTGATTAATATAGATTGACGTTGATGTGTTTTCAAACTATTCCTCCTTAATTGCAAGGGTCCTCTGTGCCCCAGTGGTCTAAGTAGTTTATTTCATATATCGCTACTAGGCCAGTCAACACTAAGGTTGTGACTTCAAACCTCGCACATGCATGCAGGTTTGTTCGAATATTAGTTGACTAGGTTTGTCAGTTTTCCTCCCGAACAATAAAACATAAAAAACTATACCACAAAAAGTTGGCAAACAGCTATGAAAGATGTTAAATATATACGTTATTAAGAAAATGTTCCATGAAATGCTGCTGGGACAATTGAAGATGATGCTTTAATTCAGGACTTTAAATTAGTAAAATCTGCTGTAGCCTCTCAGCTTACAATGCTGGACTTGATTGTAAAGACTGGTTGGCTCAAAGTTAAAATTCTTTTCTGAATAGGTTGACATATCTTTCTTCGGACTGAACTAGAACGTTAAAAACCAGATGAGTGTATTATATACAGGGTCTATATTCATATCACTTGTCAAACTAAAGTCATGCATATCACATAAACCGTCATGTTCTCGCCCTGATGTCCATGTATTATTGTGTGTGTATAACGTTACTGTCTGAAACACAAGTTCGCATAATCATATCTAAATTTACACTAATAATTTATTGAAGCATGCTTTTTGGTCTTCTTTTGCAATTTTTGCATATATATATACTCAATTTTGCCAATATATAATCAAAAGTGCAGTTAATTGATCGAGTTATCTTTGACTGTTTATAATGTTATATTCTGTTATTTAAAAATACTGCGAGGATCTACATCACGACATGGAGCTGTGATACTGTGAATTTAAGTAAAGATTGAAAGACTTGAAGATGATCCTGGTATTAAATTAACTAGTCCAAGTCATTTCTATTTAGCAATCCTATTTTGAATTTAATCAATGTATGGAATTACACATCAAGGTGTACGGAAATACACGACATCCGTACGATATTAGCAACAGTGACTTTTCTGTTCGGTATGCTCATTCTCGGTATTTTATGTTGAATGGCATGGAAAAAGTCAAACATTAATACTATCTACGAATGATCTAGTTACCGGTTTCCTTCTAGAACATTGTAGTATCAAACAGGGAACCAAATTGCATTCATTTAGGACCAAAAGTGTACGGAATTACCCAGACCGACTCTATCTACACAGAGCTCTTTAGAAATAAATAGAATAGTCATAATCGAGTTCAAAATTATTTCTGGCATGAAAACATAGAAAACTTGCCCTACTTGAATAAAGGATTATAGGGACCCATCCCCTCAGTCATGGTTCATCTTTTGCATAGTTTATGTGTTAAAGTTTTTGTTTAGATGCCCTTGGGAAATATGATTTTCTTGGGTGAACAAATCTTCATATCTCCCTCAGGCACAGGAAATAACTGTATATTTTTACTTGTGTGACTATCCTTTAGTATTTGGTGATATTGACTGTCAGTATGTAGGTGTTTATCTACACAGAACTCTGTGTCAAGATATTCTTACCTGTGTGACTCTGTCAGTATTTGGTGATACTGACTGTCAGTATATAGATATTTATCTATGAGAGCTTTGTGACAAGATATTCTTACCTGTGTGTGTGGATTTTGCCATGGTTCTTAAATTTATGAATGGTAAATTTCATAAGACATTTTCCAGTCATTGTTATTGATAAAAGAAGACTTTTCATTTTGTTTTAGATGCTGAAGGATATTGCTCCTTTCAGATGACTGATCCAGATTGTTTCCTAATACAAGATGTTACAGATAATTTTGATTGGTCAAGAGATCGTGTGAGTTAACTTGTTTACTAAATTCCATCATGTTGATAAATATTTTTTATTGATTGATATCAAAATTTTAGTCTGTGTAGAAATTAATACATCTGATTAAAGTAGAAACAAAATTGATATATGAAAAACTCATAAAATACTCCGTTTCTTTTATTTGGAAATATTTTCTGACTTTAGAAGTTGTTTTTAATAATTCTACAATTTGAACAAAAAAGAAATTTGCTTGCATTTATGAAAACTTGAAATGGTTAGAATCTCCTTTTATCAGCTTTTAAACTTTAAGGATGCTTAACACTTACCATGCTGAATTGTTTTCAGAAAATGTCTAATTTTCGTTTATTTGCAAAAATATGCAAATTACATGCAAATGAGCTTTATTCTGCTGCTGATGCATATTGATTCCTTTAAATCTAAGATAGGGGGATCATGGGGTGACGTGGCAGGGGTGAGTGGGCAGGAATTAGCCCCAAAGTTGGTCATCAGGTGCAAAAAGCGTCAATTTTGATCAATTTTTCGACCTATTTCTTGACCAGGAAGACCGAGGGATGCTGATAGAAGTATCTTACTGTATGAAGAGTGGACTCCAGTGAACACATTAATCACAACAAAGTCTAGGTCGGAGTCAAACTGATCTTGGTACAGCAGTCTAAAGAAGGTCATTTGCACCAAAAATCTGGAATTTCTCTATTTTTCACGATTTTTGGCTTCAACTGGACCTGCGACTAGAAGTAAACGTTCACTAAGTGGATTTCAATAATAAACATGATCAGTAGTTATATTCCTGCAGGTTTACACTAATTTTAAAGTTTTAGGCCTCTGAACTGCGTGTGTATGACACCAAAGGGAAGCCCACCTCTCCAGAAAAACCAGTTTTATTCAATTTCAATTTTCCAAATTCGTATTTGAGCAGAACATGGACCTTAAACATGAGAAACATGACAATAATGAGCCTCAGGTTGAGGAAACATGTATCAACTTTGAAATTAATGTCATAAAGTTGACCTCTAAAAGTAGGAAGCCAAATAACGGTAGTTTGGGTAATCCCGTCATATGACGGTCACCGCATGGTAAGGGTTAATACATACAATATTAAATTTTGTGGTATTTTTGAAAATATGTTCAGTTTGTATGTAAATTATAGCTAACACATTGATTTATTTGCTGTATATTTACATTTCAGAGTACTAGAACTAAGAATACAGGTCCACTTTCATTTTTAGCTGGAAAATATTACTTTATTGAGGCTAGTAGTAAGCCAATTGGTTCTAAAGTTAGATTGATCAGTAATGTACAGTATTCAAGTAAGTTTTATATCACTCAAACTATGGCACTGTTTTGTTAAAAATTGTAGAATTATCACTTTATACGATTAATAAATCCTTTTAACTTTGCTATATGTGAATTATTTTCACTACCTAGCACATTTGTCTATCTTTCATCTGTTCTAAAATATTTCAAAAAATCCTCCTTCATATGCTCTACTTATGATTTGGCATTATGTTTTACAATTTTTGCATCCCTCCATCTGTCCCATTTTTGGTTACATTGTTGGTTTAATGTTGTTTACCTTGAAGTTGTGATCTCATCAATTTTAAACTTTGCTCACATGTTCATTATGATGTCAAATTTTAAGATAGATCCCAAATTAAAATTCTGACCCAGATTTTGTGGTACACTGAATGTGATAGTCAGAGCTGGTATGGTGGCCATGTAGCCATCAGACATTTTTCTGTTTACCTAATGTAGTCATCACAGTTATAAAAATCCATTTATCTTTATTTTTATATTATACATCTTTTGTATATATTTTTTTCAGATAAAGCAAGATGTTTAACTTTTAACTATAATATGTATGGAGACCAGACTGGGGAATTAAAAATCCTAACTGTGGATTCTGATAATACAGAAACAGAACTATGGTCAGTATCTGGGAACCAAGGAAACCAGTGGACAGGTCAGATGGTCAGTGTGCAGACAGAACCTACCTCTAAGGTATGTACTTGTTTAAAGAATCAGCGAGAGGCGAAGTGGTGTAGAAAGTTACCTGGGCTGATGGGTATTAAAGCATATTATCAACATGAACACCTGACTCTAAATTAGTATGTGAAAAAACCGTCAAGTTCTGTTGTTTACCTTGGCAACTCGGATATTGTAATTTACTGCCATGAAATTGTGTGAATATGAAGAAAGCTGCATGATACAGAAACCACACCCCTTTCCATTGGTGAATTGTAAACGATGCAATGAAAAGCTTTATAAATTTAATTTAAGGGGAATAATATCATTTGGAGTAATGAAAAGTCTGGGTATTTGGACTCACATGCAATGAACTCATGAATATGAGAAATAGAGTGAATAATTTAGTGGTGAAAGATATTAATGATACTTGATATTTTTTTTGCCTACCAACTGAAAAGCCATGTTAAAGATAAAAAACCTCAAAGTAGTTCATCTCAGTCTTTATTTAAACTAATTATTTATAATGTTAGAATAGGACATATTTTGTTTCTTCTTTGATTCTATCTGATGTTTAAAAGCATCAATAAATGAATATTGATTAGAACAACAGAATGTTTGATTTCAAATTGTTTTTGAGGTGTCAGTAGGGGGTGACAGAGGAGATATTGCCATTGATGAAGTCAGACTTTTAACTACAGACTGTAGTGAGTACTTTGTTTTGATTTCAGATTGTTTTTGAGGCATCAGTAGGGGGTGACAGAGGAGATATTGCCATTGATGAAGTCAGACTTCTAACTACAGACTGTAGTGAGTACTTTGTTTCATTGTTGAAGGCCATACGGCTGCCTATAATTCCTTACATCCACTTTGGTGGATAGTTGTCTCATTGGCAATCATACCACATCACCTTATTTTTATATAGTTTGAAATCAAGAAGTATGATTATTTTAAAAGATATTGTGAAACAATGAACAGTCAGAAGGATCCGTGAGGTAGAATTTGTTCAAATGTCAGAACACTATGTATTGTAATTGGACATGATTTTTTTCTTTACCAGTAGCATTTGATGAAAGTATTAGGAAAACAACATTCTTATTATGAAGTTGTGTGAGAAAATTGTCCACTTCTGGTGACCATGTTTGAAAATATCATTTAGAATTGCAAAATGGACTGCTATCTTTGTTTTACATTGTCCTTTGAACTATCTCATGAAATTAATTTAATAATTTTGTAATGGAGATTGCTAATATCGAAATGACAAAATATGGCTGTCCTTAGAAATTATAATAACATTTGTCATTACAGATCCATGTTCACCTATTGACCCTTGTAGAAATGGAGGATACTGTTCAGTGTCAGGTGATACTTATACATGTACATGTCAGTCAGGGTTTGATGGTCCGGAGTGTCAGTATATAGGTAAGTTCAAAGCTGGAACTCCTGGGTGATACATAATTATGCACTTATTTTGAGATTATGTATACTTTATACGGGGTAAGTTAATTTATCCCTTTGAATCAAATTTCAGGGAGGAAATAGTAGCATTTTACAAATAAGAAAGTATCTAAAAAGGGTTTCTGCTTAAATCAGTTTGATAGTAACTACTTGTGATAGATAAATGATATTATCTATAAAGTTGCATTACTACCAGTACATATCAGTTTGAAAACTATTTCGAGGCCCTTCCCTTAAGTCATGGTCCAGTGACCGAATTAATTACAATTTTCAATGTTAATTTCTCTGCTTAAGTCAGTTTGATAGGAATTACTTGTGATAGATCAATGATATTTTTCTATAAAGTTGCATAACTATCAGTACATATCAGTTTGATGACTATTTGAGGCTCTGCTCTCTATGTCATGGTCCAGCAACTTTGAATTAATAGCAATGTTGCTGCCCGTATGATTATCTTTTTCTGAATTTTCTGTGGACAGGCGAGACATATCTCTGTGTAAGTTTATTTTATGAGGGTCTTGTTAATTTGATTTGTTTTAAGAGCTATTGCATATTTTGATATCCCTATTTTTGTTATCTTTGAACTTGCATTAAAAAAACTTATCCATCAAAGATACAATACAGTAGCATTTATTCTATTCTAAAGAAACTTGTATTTATTGAAGAAATTGTTACAAATACATGTTTTATTTCAGATTCCCAGAGATATTGTTCCTTCGAGAAGAAAGATCCATCCTGTTTCTTGGTACAAGATCAAATCAGTGATAATTTTGATTGGAGTAGAAGTAGGGTAGGTGAAGTGTAGACTGTTAAAACAAAAATGTGAAGCCCAACTTCCAATACTCAATATATTTTACAAATAAAAAAATAATGATTCTAAAATTTGATCAGCACCTCAGAAAAAGTAAAAAAAAGCATTAATGGCATCTTATAGGAAATATTACTGTTCTTTTTAATCATGATAAAAACAATAAGGACAAGGTTTTTAAGTGCTGGACAATAAAGAAAATTGTCTTGTATTTGCAGATAATACCTTTTTTCTAAAAATATTTCTTCTTGTTCTTTCCAACATATGGTCCAGTCGAAAATATAGATTTTCCTTTCAGTAAATACAAATTTACAAATCAGTATGCATAAGAGCTTTCCTCAATTTACTAATAAACTGTCCAACAGTGAGTATTTTGTGTTGATGAAAAATGATTCTGTATACAATTTTTATGACTAAAGGATATGGCAAACACTTCTGTACATTTTTGTTAAATTTATCAAACTTTGAATTTCTAGTCCCAGTTGGTCCTCTTGCACTCTTTTTGTTTGCATTCTCATGAAAACTCTCGAGATTTCAAACATACTGTCCATAAAGGGAGATATTATCAAAAAGAAAAAATCATCAAAGAGAATTAAATATCATGGAATCAGATTTAGATAGCTTCAAGATCTTGATTTTATTGCACAAAAAAAAAATTATGATCAGTTCAGTGTTAATCTGATTAACTTCGAGCATTGTTTCATTTTATCTTATTCATGCGCAGATGATAAAAAAAATGATACAAATTAAATTTCATGATATATTGAAAAAGGTATGACATTTGTCCTAATCCTTTTTGTGTTTTTACATTTCTGTTTATTTTACAGAGAACACCCACTTTAGCCACAGGTCCAACAAAAGCAGCAGATGGGATCACATTTTATTTCATAGAAGCATCTAAGCAATCTATAAATAACAAAGCCAGATTGATTAGTGATGTCAAGTTTTCAAGTAAGATGGGAATATTTCAGGAGTATTGTTTAATGAGTAAAAATATCCATTGTTTACATATTTTTTTTTATTTTTTTAGAATTACATAAACCTAATGCAAACTTAATCATTGAATTGGTCCAGGTTCTTAAATATATCAATTATTGCACCTATGGAGGCAGAATTGTTTTTACTTTAATGTAAAAGAAAGCATTCATGCAATTAGAAGATACTTGATTAAGAATGTGTGATGGATTGGGGATTATTCCGAAGAAGAAAATGTTTAGCATTTGATATTAGTATTGGAATATACTTATAAACTCCAAAAAAAGAAAATAGAATAGGGAGTTTATTTAAAATTTTATAGACCAGAAATAAACCAAAGTATGATATTTATTCTTGGGACTATCTATGGTATATAGAGCTATAGCTAAAGTTTCCAATACCTAATCAGTTTCAAAAATGAAAATTACAGTAATACTTAAATGATGCAAGCTAAAAAGAAAAACAATATAGACTCAAGGTAGATTAATGAACATGCATAACATAAGAAATACTGTGGATTCATTATTATTCATTGGATACCAATTTTCGTGGATTTTGTGGGTACAGGTGAACCACGAATTTAAATATTCAACGAACTGCAAATTTTCTATAGGGCTGTATGCAGACTTTGGCAAAACCACGAAATCAAATATCCACGAAAATGCAGGTTTTCATCAATCCACGAAAATTGGTACCCACGAAAATAAATGAATCCACAGTATTCTTGCTTCAATGAACCTTATTTCTATCGTGCTAATGTTGTTTAATAGATCCAAAAGTCTTAAATGATAAGCAAAATAGTATATTAAAGAGCTGTATTAAAGAAAGATAAGATAGTGTAACCATTCCATTACGAACTTTAATTTGCCTATAAAACAACAGTTTGAAATGAAATATATTAAAAAAATGCAGGCTGCTGAGGTATAACTCACTTCAAAGTTGAAATAATTATTTTGATTCCTGTATACTAAATGGTATGGACTATAATTTTTCAGAACTTATTTTGTATGGTGTTTAAAGGCACTTCAAAAAATTTGATGAACAGTGGTTCTCTGTAGAAATCAGTCTTAGAAATTAAAGGGAAATGGCCTATTTATCATTGAAAATATGTTTCCTGTTATTATGGTAAAATCAACAATGCCTTCTGTCATGGTATATGTTTATTTACAAAAAAGCATTTAGTTTTTAGGAATATTTCAATTCAAAGTATTTTATTGTTCAAATATCCATCAAACAAAGGATAGGACAAAAGGCAATGCCTATACAAATCTTTTCCCTTTAATACAAGATTGATTTGTATAATCTGATAGTTTATGATATATTTATGATAACTCTTAAATCATTCATTATTTATAAATATTTAAAATTTGCAGAATGAGCTCAACTTGTTCATCCCTTGGTACTCTGATGTAAATTACATATTATTATTTTTTACAATTCCAGATAAAACTAGATGTTTTACTATGTCATATCACATGTATGGAGATCAGATTGGGACATTAAGAGTTCTTACTCGTGACTCTGATGATACTGAAACGGAACTATGGTCTGTGTCAGGGAATCAAGGAAACCAATGGATAGGCCAGATGTTCAGTGTCCAAACTTTGCCAGACTCTAAGGTTTGAAATGGCTTCACTTTGATTTATTTGATGTCTAATTATTGGATAATGTTTTTTTAACATGGAAGATAATATACATAGAAGCTAATACATGTACAAATAAAATCTTCAGAAGCTGAAAAAAGGTCTGATTTGAAAGATTGAGACATGTTTTAATAAGGAACCTATACTTGATCTTATTTAGCTTTTATGATTGATTGATTGTTGGTTGTTTATGTTCAGTGGCAAATATTTCATGCATGTTCAGGACAAGAACAAATTAACAATATATACAATAGGGAGGTCCTGTAATAGAGGCCGTCCAGGATGAAGGTCTGGGAAATTTGTACTGCCACTGGAAAATGAGGGTGTATTAGATAGGCCCAGAAAATTTGCCTCATAACAGGCCACTTAAGGACCCCTCAAAAGTGTAGTTGCACTCTCTCCTCACGAGGCATCAGATTTATCATCACCATTGTGACTGGACGTGGCCACTTCCACAGCCAAACCAATGCCCCACTTTGGCAGATGTTTTACTGCCAGTCCAAAGAAGACCTAAGTGATCATATTTATATTCCCCTGTCCCCGTTGGGGTAGCTTTTATGAAGAGAACCAACATATTTAGATGTATATATTTTTGTTGTATCATTTACAGATAGTTATTGAGGGTTTAGTAGGAGGAAATAAAGGAGACATTGCTATAGACAATATCAAACTGTATATTAAAGATTGTGGTAAGTAATAACTTGTGTACTCCCAAGTTCATTTGTATTGTACGAAGGCAACTTTTGTTTTAACATCATAAGTACTCAACCATCCTGTAGTTAACAATGCATAAGTAAAATTTATGTTGATGCTAACATTAAGAACATTATTCTTGCAAATACTTATTTCTTTATCTTTTGTAAAACAAATTTTGTAAGCGCTCTCAAATGTACAACCATTGCCAGATTTTATTGAAATTTATGTCAACGGTTAATATGGGCAATTTCTCTGATGAGTTTAAAAATCACTGCCGATCAACTTTTTTAAAAGCAGAAGTGCCCCTTAAAGAAATAACTCCACCAAAAATTGCCTTGTAAGCACTATCAAGCCTACAATTCTTGTATGATATTTATGAAAAATTTAAAAGAACAAAATGAATATATTTGAAGTTATTGTCCTATGACAGATAATATATGCATTGGTGGGGGACATTGGAACGCTGTCCTTTTATTTCACCTTATCTTAGAATTGTAAAAATCTTTCTTAGGGAGTCTAGTTCCAAAATTCCCCCCTGATCATCTAGTTGATGAGCCCTTTTCATTGTTCAGTTTAATGCCTGTCATTATCCAATTTTGCAACTATAGCAGGGTTTTGAAAAAATGCATTAAGCTTTCTTAGATGAAAGATTTGTCAGTGGGCAAATGTTAATAACATTTCTTGGGAGTGATCTATTGGGTATTAAACTTGATTTCTTAACCTGTCCTACATCTAGTTTAGAATTGGAACCTGTGATCCTTCTCACCAGTCAACATGACTGTCATTAGGTGTTGTAGAAAAATAGGATAGATGAAGCAATGGTCTTGGTATTGTTTATTGAATATAATATCTTTTTCTACCATGTTCATGTTGAATGTATTGTGGTAGATTTTCTGTCTATCCACTCATACATCCGTCTGCATTTGACATATCATATGATTGATAAATAAAGTTTGTTTTGATCAAATTTCATTATATTTTACAAAATCTAAACTACCATAGTATTTTGGGGAAAAATTAAGTTGCATTGTAATTGATTAATGTCCAGAATACTAAAATTGACATTGTTGTAAATTCTGTCAAAAAACAATATATCATGATAGATTTAAGTCACAGAAATTATTTGATTTTAAAATATGGATTATTATAATTACTAAAATTGCAGGTATTTTATTGTAAGATAACGAAAAAAAAAAAAAAAAAAGTAACTTAAAAGATGTGTTTAAATTGAAATTTAGTCTTTTGACATTAATGATAGAAATGTTTATTTCAGTTCCATGTGGACCAATCAACCCTTGTAGGAATGGGGGATATTGCTCAGTGTCTGGTGATTCTTATACTTGTAATTGTGCAGCTGGATTTGGTGGACCAGAATGTCAGTATACAGGTATGTAAATCACATGTCCTGTTTATTTTGATGTGCTAGAAGGTCAATATATAGGTATGTTGGTCAGTCAATGTTGATTCCTATACAAATACCTGCCATGCTAGTTTTGACAGACCAGAATATAAATGAACAAATATTTTGTGTTCTGTTTATAGAAAATTTTACTGATTTAGCTGAAATGTGATGTCCTATGGTTTGTGGCAAATTTGGCTTTTATGCTCTACAAAGGAGATATAGTAGTACAATATAACTGTAATATATCTGAAATATTCAGGTATACATTTCTGTAACTCTTGTACAATTAGCTGTCTTGAAAGATTTAGTTGACCAAAATATAAGCTAAAAGTAACTGCTTTTTGCCCCCCGAGCGACTCATTGCAGGGGACATACAAATACCAGACTTCCGTACATCTGGTATTAATAGTGCTCTCACGTGTACAGTTCTTGTTAGATTTTTTTTTAAACTTATATCGTAGGTTTATATCAGCAATGTCTCGGACAAGTTTGAAAATCAGTGACGATCAACTATTTTTGAAAGAGTTATGCCCATTGGAAATATTAATTATATGGAAAATTTCGTTGTTAGTGCTCTCATGTGTACAATAATTGCCAGGTTTTTATGAAACTTATATCATAGGTTTATATCAGCAATGTTTCTGACAAGTTTGAAAATCAGTGCTGATCAAATATTTTAATATTAAATATATTTGAAATTGTATTGTATTTGCACTCAAGCCTTCATTTCTCTAAGATATTTGTAAAAAGTTTTTAAGTACAAACAAACAGAATTTTATTTTTAGTTATTGCCCTTGGATAGATAAAATATGTGCAAAGTGGGGGACATTGGAACAGTTTTTGTTGTTTCAATATTTTTAATGATGTAAAGTTCCTTTTGACAGCTTAAATGATATCATTGAATGTGAAAGTCTTATTTATCAAAAACATTTAACTTGCATATATTTAAATATTATAGATATTTTTATTTAGCCAAACTTGTTCAAGTTACTACAGCAATTGACATATGATAAACAAAGGAAAGAACAAACAAAAAATGAAATAACCTACATGTTGAACTAATTAATAGCTGCACAATGGATTAACAGTTACACAAAACATTAACACTCAATATTTACTTGACAGATGCAGTGAAAACATGTACTTTTGAGAATTCAGATCAAATGTGCTTTCTAACAGATGAGACAACTGACAGCATAAATTGGAAAAGACAAAGGGTAAAATATATTTAACATGGTTTTTAAGCTTATATTGAAATAGTAGAAAAGAACTTTGAGTGTTCGTTTTATTTTTCCATTCCATTGCAGGGTGTGAATAAAGAAGTGGATTATATTTTGGGTAGATAGATGTGACTTATTTGTATTCTCAAGCTATAAACTGCACAACAGATACTGTAAACATATTAATTTTCTTGGTTTTGCTTGAAGTAAAATATTTTGGAGTATATGTATTTATCTTAATGTTTTACAATACATGCAAAACAATATTACTAGTTTTTAATCTCGCCTGCGACGAAAGTTGCGGAAAGCTAGACATGGGGATTGCTTTTCTGGCGACTCCAGCTCCAGCGTCAACAATTGTTAAGTTTTCTGCTTAAGTTAGTTTGATAGGAACTACTTGTGATAGATCATTGATATTTACTATGAAGTTGCATTATTATCAGTACATAACAGTTTGATGACTATTTCAAGGCCCTGCCCCCTAAATCATGGTCCAGTGACATTCGAATTAATAAGCAATTTTCAATGTTAAGTTTTCTGCTAAGTTAGTTTGATAGGAACTAATTGTGATAGATCATCGATATTTAATATGAAGTTGCATTACTATCAGTACATATCAGTTTGACGACTATTTCGAGGCACTTCCCCCTAAGTCATGGTCCAGTGACTTTGAATTAATAAGCAATTTTCAATGTTAAGTTTTCTGCTTAAGTTAGTTTGATAGGAACTACTTGTGATAGATCATTGATATTTAGTATGAAGTTGCATTACCATCAGTACATATCAGTTTGACGACTATTTCGAGGCCCTGCCCCCTAAGTCATGGTCCAGTGACTTTGAATTAATAAGCAATTTCCAATGTTAAGTTTTCTGCTTAAGTCAGTTTGATAAGAACTACTTGTGACAGATCAATGATATTTTGTATAAAGTTGCAGTTACTATCAGAACATCTCAGTTTGTTGACCATTTCTAGGCCCTACTCACAAGACTTTGAATTAATAAGCAATGTTGCTGTCCATCAGATTGTCTTTTTCTGAATTTTATGTGGACTGACGAGACATGTCTCTGTGTCAACAGTTTATTTAAGGTACTATTTTAAAATTAGGCACCATAGAAATGTGAATTTTGTTTAACGAATCAAATTTTTTACTTTTAGCAGTGTATCAAAAGGATTTTGACATTATGTGGTTCAGTGATCAACCATTCAATTTTAGTTAAAGTTGAGACATATGAATCTAGTACCTGGAATATGTTAAGTTTCATTAGTCTTATCAATTCAAAAAAAAATCAGAGTATGTAACTGTTGTTTTGTTTGTCAGTCCAAAAAATATGGTTTTATGGATATAAACTTGAGTATCCTTTTAACAGATTGGAATAAAACTAATATACAGATATAGATGGAAGATATAGGAAAGTGGAAGAAGCCTTTTCATTTTGGATTAATAGGACAGTGGTCAAGGTCACTGATACTAAAAATAAGTATTTTTTTAATATCTTGTGTGCAATTTACTATTTCAGGGTTCAACAAAAACTAAAAATACAGGACCAGCAAGTGCTGCTATTGGTAATAAGTATACTTACCTAGAGTGTACTGGACAAAGTATTGGTTCTAAAGTTAAACTTATTAGTAATATTCAATTTTCAGGTAAGTTGGTATTTTTTGAAGACCTCTTCTAGAACCTTCTGTCAATTCAAATCAAGATAAGTAGCCATCTTTCTAAGATTTCAGGTACTATTTTAGCTAAGAAATATTTCAACCAATTCTATTCAAAGTTGTTGAAATAGTCCTTTAGAAGTGGCCTTTCAGGTATCCCTGTTGACCAAGAAGATGGCTGTTGTAACCTAAAACCAGAAATTCTGTAAAAAATGTGCAAAATTTCTTTTCAAATAAAACAGCTTAATCAAATTCAATAATTTTGGGGTAAAATAGTCTGCAGTGCCAAGAGTGCCTGATTAGCCCATTTTGTGCATATTGAAATTGTTGCCAGAATAAAATGTAATATTAGGTATATAAATATCGCATCAAATATGAATTAAAAGTCCCATAACTCTGGACAGACAAACCAGAAAGTTTAAAAAAATCGAAAGCGAGTCTTACATTCACCAATCCCAAAACCACAGTGTAATGTGTGTAGTTAATTGACTCTAGTATACTAGAGTTACTGCATGACATGTAAAAAGTTGCCTTTTAATTAATTCACAGAAGTCCACTAACTCTGGAATGCGAATTTCTAAAATGTTAGAAAATGGCATGGTGTCTTACTTTCACCAATTCTGACAATTATGTAAATTTTTCAGTAAATCAATCCAAGCATACTTAGGTTATTGTACAACATGTGAAAAATTACTTGAATCTGACAGTTAATGTCCCGTAACTATAAAATGACAAACCAGAAAAAAATTTAAATCAAAAGGGAGCTTCCTTTAATCAATCTCAACATCATAACTGGTTTAGAGGAAATCAATCCAAGCATACTGGAGTTAATAATGTGGGATACATGAAAAATTGCCTTTTATAAAGTCCAGTAACTTTTGAAAGACACAGCAAAAATTTTGATAAGTGGAAAAGGAGCTTTCTTCTTATGTCTTTCCTACTGTTATGTAAGCATTTCATGATAACTTGGATAAAGCAAATTTGGGTTATCTTACAAAGTGTTGACGAATAGACGGACGTACTGACTACAGTATACTATAATACGTCCCATTTAAACAGCCGTATGAAAATAGTGTTGATCTGCCACTTGTCCAGTATTACCATCACTTGCAATAGAATGTCAGTGGAGATAACAAAGGAACTTGTGATTGGGTTGAATACACAAATCCGAGTTGTTTTTTATGAATGAGTTACACCAGTTGACCCGAGGTCAATCAGTGTGAATGACATCATCAAACAATCAGTTTTTACTGTGACATAATAAGAATAAGCATTGTGACATGGAAATTTAAGGGAAAGTGCACAAATTCGAAAGTCGTCTATACTTCCATTTATAATTTGACATGTCTTTCATTATGTTATAAAAAATCATCTTTTTTCAGATTCAACACGATGTTTGACATTCTGGTATCACATGTATGGTAGTCAGATAGGAACATTACGTGTCATTAGCAGGTCATCTTCTCTACAGGAGACAGAACTGTTGAGTATTTCTGGAAACCAAGGCAACAAATGGCTATTGAAGTCAGTCACAGTGTCTACGTTGCATGATTCAAAGGTAAGATGGTATATTGTTACATACAGAATAAGAAGGACATTCTAATTGTATTACTACTTTTTAGTGATTTCATGGGCATTTGCAAACTATAATAACTGTAAAGATCAATGGTTAAAGAATCTGTTCAGTAATTCCACACAATACTGGTACTGTATGAAAAAAACCACTTAACTTCTGAATATTTTATTCTGTAAAACCTGAAGTAGTATTATGTGCTTTACTTTAACAATGCATATATATTATTTTGAATACTTTTCAGCTTATAATAGAAGCATCTGTAGGTGGAGACAAAGGAGATATAGCACTAGATAATATTAGTCTGTTGACTAGTCCTTGTGGTATGTGTTTTATAGAATAATAGTCATCATATTGATAGAAATTAAATGGCAGATAGGCACCATTATAATTTATCTCTACTTAACAATTTTTCCCCCATATTTTGAAAATCTACCTGTCTAGATATTACTTTTACTTTTAAGATGAGCTATACATTTAACTGGTTTGTCAAGATAACTGGTAAACACGAACCTGATAAGATCACTAGTGAGGAATATTTACTACTCTTGAAAATTGGAGAGATGCAGTTTGTCTTTTATCTTCAGTAATTAACTTTACAATTTTAATTTTGTTAAATTTTTTTTACCCCAGCAACTAAGTGGAAGAACCGTGTAGTGTTACCAATGTCTGGCTTTCTGTCATTCTATCATTCTGACATGAAACAGTTGTCCAAATTTATTATCACTATGCCTTCAGATATTGATCTGGTTTTTTGTCGATCCTGCGACTTCTGTCGCAGAAAGAGAGACATAGGGATAGTGATCTGCCAGCGGCCTTAACAAACTTCTTAAAAGCTTAATATTTCAGAAGGTAGAAGACTTGGATCCTTCATACTTTGTATATAGATGCCTTATGTTATGAAGTTTCCGTCTGTCATATGTCCTTTGTCTTTGACCTCATTTTCATGGTTCAGTGACTACTTGAAAAAAAAGTTAAGATTTTTAGTTTTCTTAAAGGGGCATTAGCTGTCAAATTCATGTTCACCGATTTGACTCAAATTCTCATATTTGATTTAAAACATACTAAAACGTATATCTAAATTATAATAAGTTTAAAATAACCAATTTACAATGCATGGGCTCGATAATATGTATCAGCATTTCGTGTGTATTTTAGTCTAAAAGAGGGGCAAAAGATACCAAAGGGACATTCAAACTCATAAATTGAAAATGAACTGACAACGCCATGGCCAAAAAAGAAAAAGACAAACAATAATACACTAAACACAACATAGAAAACTAAAGACTGAGCAACACGAACCCCATCAAAAAACTGGGGGTAATCTCAGGTGCTCCGGAAGGGTAATCAGATCCTTCCCCACATGTGGCACCCGTCGTGTTGCTCTAGTCGCCATCTAATTAACCATCGAGGTGACCTCTGAAGACTGCTGACAGTCATAGGACCCGATATAAACATAAATATAGATATAAATTGGTAACAAAATCATGCAATTGGATTTTTCAAGGTCTGTTTCATTTCATATTATAGGTTAAAAATATATGTTAATCATAGTTTTTACCTGTATAAGAATGAGTTTTTGTGGATCGAATCAGTCAATCAAATGGTTTACCCTTTTTCACTTTCAATGTTGACATTCTTTTCCTTTTAATAACTGAACGCGCCTTATTCATGCGTAACCTAACTCTAGCTAAGGGGTTAAATTGAAAGTCACATTATTCACTTGCAAGTGAATAATTCATCAGCGATGTTTCTTAGCTTATTTTGACAAAATTGAACCAAACTGGCTGCTAAAAGCGACTTTTTATTTCACTATTTCACTTTCATTAAATATTGAACAAAAAAAATCATATTTTTGATTTTTTTTATATCTTGTAGCTAATGCCCCTTTAATTTCTCTCTGATTATGAGTAATAGGATAACTATATTTGGATCAGTGAACAAGGTTAAGTTTTTGTGGTCGTCCATATCTCAGATACTATAAGCAATAGGTCTACTATATTTGGAGTATGGAATGATTGTAAGGTGTACATGTCCAACTGGCAGGTGTCTTCTGACCTTGACCTCATTTTCATGGTTCAGTGGTTAAAGTTAAGTTTTTGTGTTTTGGTCTGTTTTTCTAATACTGTATGCAATAGGTCAACTATATTTGGTGTCTGAAAATATTTTACGATGTACATGTCAGTCTGGCAGGTTTTATTTGACCTTGACCTCATTTTTATGGTTCATGGCTCAATGTTCAGTTTTTGTGTTTTGGTCTGTTTTTCTTAAACTATGAGCAATAGCTCAACTATATTTGGTGCATGGAATGATTGTAAGGTGTATATGTCTGTCTGGCAGTTATCATCTGACCTTGACCTCATTTTCATGGTTCATTGGTCAATGTTAGGGCTATTCCATTAAAATGTATGTGGGAGGGTAGGAAGGGAAGTTTAATGATTGAATGTGAGTCATGGGTCTTTTTTCAGTATGCATCTATTACCATTATACAAAATTATCTAAAAAATGGTTCTTGGTTGTAGGGATATTTTGAAAGTCCCTTCCTACCCTCCCACATACATTTTAATGGAATAGCCCTTAAGTTTTCCTGGTTAAGTTTGTTTCTTAGATACTATCTGCAATAGGTCAACTATATTTAAAACATTATTATAATATTATTAGAATGATTGTGAGGTGTACATGTCTGTCTGGCAGAGTTCATCTGACCTTGACCTCATTTTCATGGTTCTTGGCTCAATATAAAGTTTTCATGGTTTGGTCTGTTTCTTGTATACTATAAGCCATAGGTCAACTATATTTGGTGTATGGAATGATTTTAAGGTTTACATGTATTTCTGGCTTGGTTTATCTGACCTTGACCTCATTTTCTATGATCATGTTAAGGTTATGTGATACTTGTAGTAAAACTTTATATTTAGGACTATCAGCATAAAATCAATGGTCAGTAAAGCAGGCGAGACATTTCAGCGTGTGCACTCTTGTGTTACATAAGTGTATAATGATGACTTGCAGTTAACATTTCTTTTTGTTTACTTTTTGGTGGAATGAAGGTTTTTGGACAGAAATTTCTCTTAATTGCACTTGTTTGGACTTTTTTTTATTATAATGGCTGCAGATCTATGCTGATTTTTTGATGCCTAGGTGAACATTTGTACAATGATAACTTAAAGGGCAAGTTTTTATTTTGGTTTGATTTACTGAAATTGGCATGTGGCTACAGAATGGGACATTCATGGAGATTATTTGGCCAGGGCCCTCAGTCATGGTCCATGGACTTTGAAAGTTTTGCTTAGTTGATATTTGCATTATACTATTGAAATTATATACAGGCAAGACATATCTCTGGATCCACATTTGATACCTCATTTGTTGTTTTTTCCTGCTGTAGGATGTGAGTGTTAACTAGTTTACAAGTGTCCATTATAGTCAGTAGTTGATATTTCCCCATATCTGTGTCAGTTTTTAATGTTCAGATGATGCATTACAGAAAGCTGGAAAAGGAGATAGCTTAAATGAGTGCTAGTGGGTCTTTAATGTTCAGTGAGATTTGAGCTTTTGCTCATTGTGACTTTGAGACACTTTTGAGTACAGCAGTATATAGCACTGATTCTTTGCATAGGTCTTTGCCAAATGCATATGGGATTTTGTGTCATGGACTTTTATACCATATTCATTCTATTCCTTTAAATGATTGCAATCATTAAATAGACATTTAAAAAAAGTTTGCAGTTTTTGCATGCAATCCAGTATTCTAAATGGTCAAACTTTCTGTTGTGAGATAATGTAGTGTAAAAAAATGATGAGTAAAATTAGCATTAACATAACTTTTGCTTTAATTTTGTAATTAGTAATTGTCTTTAAATATGTTTTTATAGGAATTGATTAGTTGAGGATTGGTAAGACAATTTGACAGTTATAACTTATATTTTATTCTTTTTAGGAGGCGGATAATGAAGAGTAAAACTAAAGAAATGCTATGATGCTATTAATGCACATAATCATTGAAGGACGATGGACTAAAGGAGGACTGAAAGATTATTTCTGATGAAAGTCTATAGATATTAAATGAAAATATTTATTTTTGTAAAAATTATTGTTATGTCCTTACTTTCTCCTTACTAAGATCATTGGCCATTGTTTTTTTGTTTTTTTTAAATCCATAGATTTTTCATAAAAATTGCTGTTTTTGGGGTTGAAATATTTTTAAACCAACCTTCTTACTTGGGGATAGATTAAATTTAGAACTCTTGATATATCATTTAGGCACAATATTTTAAAGTTTACTCTCAAGTGATTAATGTGCATGTCTCTGTTCTCTAATAAACTTTCCTTCAAATGTCTCATTTGTTTTGTTCAGATTAATTTTGTTTTTATAAAGTTATATCTTGTGCATAACAATGCAAATTGTTTGTAAAATGTTATATTATTATGTATGATGATCTTTGCTTAATTAAAACAAGGTATGAATATGATAATATTTTATGATGAGATTATTTACAGTAAATATATTTTATTGATATAAATGTTTATTAGTTTGTCTTATCTCTTGTAATAAACATTTGTATAATTTAAAGATCAGCTTGTCCTATTACTTTGATATTTGATCCATATGGAAGTTGTGCCAGAATGCAGTCATGTTTTCTTTGACAATAAACACAAACAATTTATACAGGTCTTTAGGTTCTTTATTTTTCATTATTTTCAAATTGAACAACCCATTAATAACAACAAATATAATTCTTGAAAAGTAATAAGGACACAAGACTTCAAAGGATTGCAGGTGTAGTTTATTCATCGATCTTTTGCCATCCTTGAAGCAGTCATCAGGGCAAATACAATGAGATTTTTTCTTCTTAAATACTAAATCAAAGTACCAAAAGGATGGTGTCAAAATTCAAAATATTTTTGATAGATATAAAATTTTATCAATGGATATATATGAATAAAACAAAAATATCTGTAAAAGGTTTGAAAAAATAATATAATGTATTACATGTTTATAAAAATATTGTCAGTGTACTGTTTGTATTCATTTTTCAATTTTGGACAACACTTTTCTGGCAATTCCTTTCCATTTTAAATGGCTTGACATGGCCAGGGGTACTACTTTCAATTGTGTCAGGAATGCTGTGAAGAGAATAATTAATTAACAAGTTTATCTAGATTACTCTATTATGTTAAAAATATTACACTCTTATACAATCACACACACCTTTCATAATACTGTCACCTAGTTAAAAAATTACATACTCAAGTAGAATTTACTCAGGTATTTGAAAAACTGGAAACTGTAAATGGTGAATATTAATGAAAAATGAAGTTTTTAATACACTGAACAAAGTTATTCAAAAAGTTATGAAGATTTTTGTTCTTATCTAATAATAATAATGATCCCTCTGATCATTTGTTAACTGTTCAAGTAATTATCATATCTTTGACATATCTAAAATACAATTATAATTTACAAAAATACTAAAACAAGATAAATTTAAAACAGTAGTACCCAGGCTGAGTTCAAACTGATACAAACTGACAGTTGGTGAATATATATATAGTCTTTTAGCAGTACTAGCAGATTGAGCAGCCATTTGAAGTACCGACCTTGCAGCTAAAAAGTAACCTAAAATGCCTGGAACAATCATTTACATGATAATTGATTCGATTTTTCAAATGGGTCATCTTTCTTTTGTCCATGAATGACAAATTGTTATTTTATATTCTCTGTTATAAAAAAAAATATATTTATCAAGCACCAAAGCTTGGACATAATATATTGTTAGAATAATAGTTTCAGACCAAAGTCAAATGGAAACATTATATTAATGTCTTAATCATGTATGCCATAAGAAAGTCTTGTGTCCTCTTGTTTTAAAGCACACTTTAAGAAAAAACGACTATTTGTTAAGTAATATTCCTTTTCAAAACACACTTCTGTCAAAACAATTAATGCATCTTTATAAGTTTAGAACATTATAAAAAATGCTTTGTCTTCATTTTTGGCCCTTGCTTTTCCTCAGGTTGGCATCCCCGTATTGAAGGAATGCATCCTGTGCTGTGTACTGTCTAATCGACAGCTGATTCATCAGTCAATTTAGATTGACTGTCAATCGGTATCTCCAGCATATAGTTTCATCTACTGAATCACCACTGGATTTACTTGAAGTAGTCCAATGAACAGCTATTGTCCTGCAGTCTAGTGCTTGGTCTTGGGAGTGCTTGTTTTAGGGTTTGAGCTTTTTCTCAGATATATCTGACAGTTACCAATACATTCCTGTGGGGGTATCCCTGTTCCTGCTTCTCTGTTCTCTTGGATGACTGAAACCAGGAATATCTGGATTCGGTTTGTCAGTAACGACATATGGAGTGTCTTCCCATGTATAAGATAGCTTGTGTCTGTCATCCAAGGACACAATCTCATTGCGTACTCGATCTCCATTCTGTACTTTTGCTACTCTATCGCAAATGTCAACCATCCTGTTGAAGGCTAAACTAGGGGTAGGAGCTTCCAGTTGGCTTTCTGTTGTGACTTCCAATATTTCAATCATTCAAAGAAGGGTTGCAGTTAAGGCGTTCACATATCCCATTCCCCACGGGATGATGGGGTGTAGTCTTTGACTTCCTGTCATGGTGCAGAACTATTTGATAACTTTACTCTCGAAATTAGCTATCTGGTCAGAGTAGATCCTTTGGTTAACAGTATGCTTGTGCTGTGTCCTTGTTTGGTTTTTTTTTGTGGTACTGTCTGTGCCTATCTGATGAGGTGGTCGATTATATATAACCAGTAGGATCTGGTGACATTTATTAAATGGATCTAGTGTAAGAAAATCCAAACAAGTTGAAGTGGAAATTGAGTTTAAATATGCTCTCTGAAGGCTTAATGTATTTCTGTTTATACATTTGTCCAACTGCTGAATCCTTTCCTCCGCATTGGTCTATCCCAGGCTAGTCAAATTTGTCACAGATCAGTCCTGTTCTTCCCATGCTTGCCATGTCGTTGTGAAATGCCTCTTAATACAAAATTGAAGTTTATTTGCTGCTGGCTGAACCGAACTGTGATTAACTGTCTTCTCCAATAGTAAATTATCTGTACAGTATACCATATTTCATCTTCAGAGGTATTGCAACTGTATCAGGTGTCGTTTTCCTTCTATCTTTGGCGTACTTTACAAGAGACTTGTTCGTGGATTGCTAATGCTGCTTGGTTAACAGCAAGATTGTCAATGCAGGCATTTTGAAGAATGGAATTTCAGATGGTCTTCACAGAATATATGTTGGCTGAATCCATGTAAACTCAGTGATTATGGTACGAGACTACGAGTCCATCTACATGAGCATTCTTCTTTCCTGGACGAGACAAGAGCAGAAACCATATGTGTCCAGCGGTATCCCGACTTGCTGGTTGTTATTACATATATATGGAATTAATATCTGTTAGTACTGTTGCTCCCGTAGATGTAATCCTTAAAGTTATTGCATACCACCCACTTCAGTGCCAGAAATCCAGTTTGTGCTGTGGCTATATCTAATCCGACTTCGTAAGACCTCTACTGGCGTATCTGATTACCCTTTTGATCCCATATTGCTTCTTAAATAAAACTGCTTCTAGTGCTCTCCCGGAAGCATCTGTGAGCAATTCATAAGATAATTTGCTGTTGGCATATCCTAGTATTGATGCGGATATAAGGAATTCCTTCGCTGTGACTTCTCAAATGCTTGTCCTGTCCCTGACCCAATTTCCATGGATTCTGTTAGAAGTGTTTCTTGATGGACTTTTTCGTCGTTGGATTTCGCATCAAATCAGTAGCCGGTTTGTCGATATAAACTGTTCGATAAATCTACGGTAGTATCCAACAAATCATAAAAAATTCTATCATCTTCTATGTTGGTTGGTCTAGCCAATTTACTACCTTCCCTCTTATCTGGATAATCCTTATCACTATCCAAGAAGACAACACGGACGACTCACTTGAGTCCTATTAAAGATAGAATATTTGTCTAGCGCGAGCATCCTGTTGCGGTGGCAGATCCTGTTGAGGACAATGTAGAGATTCTCCAGTTGTTCGTCGAAAGGCTTGCCAAATAGAATGACATCATCGATGACATGCTCCATATATTTTGATGTAGATCGGATAAGCATTCTTTCGTCATCCTCTGGGGGACTCGGTGACCGCGTGGTCTAAGAAATACATCTACAGCAATCGCTAGCCTGTCAACTTGAGGATGTGCGTTCGACTCCGACTTTATTTGACTAGAATTGACAGTTTTCATGCCGAAGATCGGTGGTTCTCTCCGGACACTCCGGTTTCCTCCACCTATAAAAACTTACTGCCACGATATAGCTAAGAGTGCTAAAAGTGGCGTTAATCACTAACAATCAATCAATCCATGGCAAGGCATAGCTCTCTTTTATCGTTAAGTTGTTCATGTGACGATAGTCCATGCAATGTCTGGAGTTTCGTGCTCATCTTCCGCATATAAGCCACGTTAGATGTTTATGGACTGTATGGTGGTCTTATAGTAAGTACCATTTACCAGTAGTTGTCGAAGATGTGACTTTACTTCATCATACATAACTGAAGAAAATCCTCTAAATCGTTGTTTAAATTGTCTTATCATTTACATCGATGCGATATTTAACATCAGTGTTACAAATATCTTCACCATTCTTGCCAAATAAATCTTCAAATGACCCGATGAAACATATCCCTCTGTGTAGTTTATCTTCTCTTTATAGTAACTTCCATTGATTTCTACTTGATCAATATGAGATGTTGCTGATGGCTGATCTTTTGGTTGTTGCTCTCTGTTGACTTGTTGCAGTTCACATAAGAAAGCTTTAGGGTAGAGGGTGATAGTCCTTAGCAATCTGATCGTATAGCTTTCCATCATCCTTGTATCTGTAATCAATAAGTTTCGGTTCTATATTCAATTATTTTAGTTTAGTTCAAGTTCAGATTAATGTACCATACCTACTATACTATAGGGTGTCTCCTTGTCAGTGTATCATTCAATCTTTATGATTGAGATCGGGTGGATAACTCGTTTGTTCACAGCGATTTTGACTATAGCTAAGTTGTTTTAATTAAGGGCTAAGTTCCTTATCTCTAAGTGTGATGGATCGGAAAGTCAGGGACTATGGCTTTGTTAGGCTACATGACTAAAGAAATTGTTGTCTTCTTGATTGCAAGATTCTTTTTCTTGCTCTTACACTCACTTTGATAGTTAAGCATCATTTTCAGTACTGTGTTGATTATGATAACTGGTAAATACCCTATATGTTCGTTAAAGATATAACAGGTCAATATGGAGCTAAATTCATTCATTCATTGTTAAGTTTTAAAACTAAAGATTGGGCAACACTAACCCCACAGAAACCCTGTGCTGAACTGGTTTATTCCTTGAATGCCTACACCTTTTGATCTGCCGACAAAAAACAGGTAAAAAATGTAGGCATGCAAGGAATAGTGTCTTATTAAAATTAAGTGTAGTCAAAACAATCAGTAATTATAATCTGTGCAGGTAAGCTGAGTTTCCCGATTAAAATTTCAGGTAATATTTTTATTTTCCTGTTTGTTTGCAATAAATTAATATTTTGTATTTTTTTTCTGTATGTTTGCAATGATTTTTTTAAGGAATAATAAAAACACTCTTCTTTCACAGCTCAGTA